TGAGCCCCGTCACTAGACTAAGACGAACCATAACTATGAATAACCACAGTACTCCCAATTCCCCACCCCACTCTTAAAATGCACTTTGTGCAGTACAAGAGTTATGTTCTATTCTCGTACTACCACTCTGTTCTCAACACCACATTATAAGGGGTTAAGAAAAAAAAGAAAAAAAAAAAATCTACCTCGGCATCACACTGGATAGGCATTTAACCTTTTCCAGTCACTTTAGGCAGTGGATCAAGCTGGCATGGCAAAAATCATACCTGCTCTACCACCTACTAAAGTCGCCGCAGCTCTCGCTGAGACTCAAGCTCCAAATCTATAAGGCCTACACTCCTACATGGGGCAACTCTACTGCGCTACCTGTACACAACCACATTTAACAGACTAAAAGGCTTCCAGAGCTCTATCCTTCGGCGGATTGTCCGTGGCACCTCCCTACAAAGGGCTAAGAATAAAAAAATACCAGATGAGCTCCACCTTTCCTCGGTACCAGAGTTCATAGGCCGGAGGCACATCAAATTTTTTGATGGGCTGAAGGCCTGTGCAAACCCACTCTTTAAAGAGATTTCACCACCAACCAGACCTGGGAGGTGGCAAGGCAAACTCCCTTTGGTGGACATATTCGCCGAAGGATGTGATGTGGACCATTGAGTCTATACCCAATTGTAAAATTTTGTATATTTGTATATAATGTAAATATTTATTGTATATATTGTAAATAAAATAAAACCTGCAGAGCGGCCCCTCCACGCTCAATGTTAAAATTAAGGCCTCTGGCCACAAAAGTAGCAAGTGCCTTCAGCACACAGATCTCAATCTCACCTTAGAATACCTAAGGGTAAATAAAGGTCAAGCATACAAAACGTATATATATACATAACTGTACATATATATATACAGTAATTATAATATATTTCTTGGAGAGGGTAAGAAAAAAAAAAACGTCTGCCGAGTAAGGTCAGTATAGCTTCCTCACCGTTTCCGTTGTATATTACAAGGTATACAATTTTTCGAATGAGAATAAAATCTCTGAGAGAAGTAGAATCGGAATAGCCGATTACAGTTACCCTTCAACATTCAACAACAGAGGGTCGTATTTGAATGTTCCATACTTAATTATGCTTAATAAAAAAATAAATAAATAAAAAAAAAATGCATACTGAACATGAATTTCAATACTGTTAGTTCAAAAGGTCTTATGTATAAATGTATTTATTGTTTTACAAGAGTGCATAAAAACTCAATATTTCTTTATGCTTTATTAGAATAATTTCATATTTTATTTTTATCTGCTATTTTCCATAGTAGCAGACTACTTATATCTGTTGCAGACTACAAAATATCACCTTTAATACACATAGAATTAAAGTTGAAAATTATTACATACGAACTTATGATCTAATAATAGTATATAAATTACCGAATCAAGATTTAATTTTGGAGGAGGGGCTTCAGCACGAAAGATAAAGTAACATTAAATTCCTAGTTATAAAGAAAAATAAATAAAAGGTGATTCTAATTATTGGACTAAAATCTTTTTTAATCATTAGTAATATGATAAAAAAAATAGCATTACTTCAGTAACACATTCAGAAATCAAAAAAAAGATAAACCTTTTGCAATAGCACATCTAAAAAAAACTAGAGACGATATCTTTGCTCCTAATTGTCCGATTTTGACGAATTTTTTTTTGTTTTTTAAGAAATTCCGTAACCTTCTAAAAAACCATATACAATATTGACATAAATGTGTATACTTCTTGAGTTATTCGGAATTTAATTTTACCATCCCTCGTAACTTTTTTTGAGCTTCTTTTCGTTGAAGTATGTAGTATAGATAAATTTAGAGGGCGTAGAGAAAATGACTTTAGCGAAGTTTCATCAAAATCGGTTCATTCGTTTAGGCGCTACAGTCTATAGCCACGCAGGTTTTTCGGCCGCCATTTTGAAACTAGAAGGCGAATAGTAATGTCGTTGAAGGAGGATGATCCTCGGGTGACCTCTGATTTTATATCCAAATTCGAAAAAAATCGGTCTAGTAGTTTCAGAAAAAATGCGCGGACGGCGGACGGCGGACTAGTAGTGCACATATAAGAGAAAGTGTTGGACGCAATTCAATGAAGTTGACACTACATTATTTTTTCACCAAAGTCTACCTTTTATCTAACTTTGAGCCAAATCGAACGAGCCCTTTCTGAAATATTGGCATATCTAAAAATATACGTTTGCGCGTGCGTAAGCGGAACTGCTGGGTGGAATTTGATAAAATTGATATGGGACCATCTAGGCACCGATCAGCATAATCCCTGAAAATTTCATGAAGATTGGATGGACGGTACTAGGTGATATGCCCGTCACATCGATTTGACTACAGACAGACAGACTGACAGACAGACAGACAGACACCGAACCAAATTTGATCCGAGTGCGTGAGACAGCGAGTGAAAATTTTCGATTCTGAGCAAAAATTTTTTTTTAATTTCTCGCACGAACACAATGCTTCCCTACCTTCGGTAGTGAGGAAGCAAAAAAAAAAAAAAACAACTAACCAGAAAACAGTCTTGACGGTCTACTGTTATCGTAATGTATCCAATTTTCATTACAAGTAACAATTTTGGAGAGAAAAGGGGGTCGTTTTTATTTCAGCAATGAAGTGTAGCACAAACTTCATAACACTGGTTTTTTTGGCAGTCAGTTTAATGTCTGTGGAACCAAACTTTCAAGCTTTTTTACCTTTACAATTGTCTTTAGGTGTTCATTAACCCGATTTGAAGGTTAAGTTTCCCTGCAAGTTCTCGAACAGTTGTTCTGAGGTTTTATTCCACCAAAGTCCACAGAACATCGCTATCAAGAGAAGAAGTCCTTCCATGACCTTCTTAGCCTTCAAGGCTGACGTCTACCTTTCAAAATTTTTCAAACCACCGTTGAACAGTGCACTCATTAATGCTGTTCTCGCCCATGACTTGATTGATGTTTCTGGCCATCAAGGTCCCATTCCGGCAGAGTTTAAACTCGTAAAACAAGATTATAAGAAAATCACACGTTGACATCTTAGTAAAGATTGAATTATTTCTAAGCAGCGAAATGATACAGAGGTAAACAAACATTATCTTTTGGAAGAGGATTAATAAGTGTTGACATTTATACAAATGAATAATTCAGTAAACGTAACCAGTTTGTTATATGAAGGGGTATTTTAAAGAAAACTCAAAATCCTGCATTATTTTCCGGACAATCCAATATATTGAACTTTGAGCTCAGACATTAGTAAAATGGATTGCCAGATTTCAGATGGTAGCTATACTAAACAACTATGATCATTACCTGAAATCCATATCGGGGGATGAGACAGGAGGTTACTTATAAATTAAATCGAAATCGTTCTTTTAGACAAACAACCTATGTGATATTTTTGCAATTTTGAAAACCACACAAATAATTATTTTATTCTAAAATAGCTATAGACAAAAGTCCAAAAAATATATATAGCGTAAAGAATCAATCCTTACACGATTTATGTAACGTATTATTTAAAAGATATATCTACTTCTGAAATAATAGATTGATTCTATTGACCTCTGTACAAATCCAACTTCAATGAACTGAGAGGAAGCACTAACATGATATATGAACATCCAATATGACAGTAGGAAATTCAAGAACTTATAGCTATGTTGTCCTTTAATTACAGCCTGGGATTATGATTCCCATTGGCAGATTTTCAAGTATGAAATCCTGAAATTTTATAACTTATAATATTATGGATTAATTACAGACAAGTTTTTGGATAAAAATAACAGTTTTTCAACAAAACTTTATTAATGCAGTATTTATTATAGTTACACAACTTCGATATAATACATTCCTTTATATAACATGATGTAAAATACATCACAATTTATTTATTAACAATGTGATCATTGAGAGCTAGAAAATTTTGAGCCAACAATTTTCTAACACTGAATAATATAAATTTATGATTTATTCGTAAAATTAAATAACAAAAGTTTTCTGTACAAATATCTCAATCCGTAAATACTTAATAAACAAATTAGATTTGTCCATAAAATACAAGCTTTAAAAAAGATTCGATTCACTAACATTAAATATTGGCTGAGTTAAAAGTTGAGATACTAGATTTTATAGATTTTGAATATATTGCTATAAACATTCTGTGCACATTTAAAAATATTTTAATAGATTTTAATAGACCTCCCACTAAAAAAATCTTCATAAAGAAGTAATTCATTACAAGGTCTGGGAAAATGATAGAAGCTTTATTTTTGTTAAAACCTATAAACCACATTTATTAATTTTATGAACAAATCCTTTGCATAATCTTATTTTAGAAAACAATAATAAAAGCACATTCTATCGACAATAAAATTTTGATTATTAATTTTATTATACGTTGTTACAAGATTATGGTGGTCTATTGAGATAAATTATAGCTATAACAAAATATGTTGAGATAGGGAAAATACCCCACCATATTTTAAAAAAATAAAAAATTTACTAAATATATAACATAAAAACAATATAAATTATAACAAAAAATACAGTCTTTCAAGTCTAATAATAAAAAAATTATGAACATACATATAAACCAATTATGTACATTTCAAATTAAAACTTAAGGCTCACTGAGTCTGTTGGACATAAGTGAGTAGTAAGATGTACAGTTAGGCCGAATGGTAATTATTCCAGTGAATAGTTATCATTCAATTTCAAAAAAATCAAAGATGAAAAAGCTTGCAGGGAAGATTTAACAATTAGCATTGATTATGTTTTTAGTTTTCCCCTGCCAGTAGTTGTTCACCTTTTTTATTACCTAGAATTTGGTTGTAAAATTGGAATACCTAAGTACTTGAATAATGAAAAGAGAAAACTAAATGAGTCACAAAAGACAGATGTGTCATATAGTATGAAGCATTTACAGGATCAGAATGAAAAATTAACCGTAAATTTAAGTGCAATAAGGAAGAAATTGATACGTTAACATAAACTGAACTCGTCATCACCTTCTTGATTTTGAGAAGAGGATTTATCATTTGGCAGTGGCTCCTGAAAATAAATTAAAAAGAATTTATTGTAAAGTTGTCTTAAATTCATTTTTTTTTTCATTATTACAAAAATTGTTCATAAATAATCTATATTAAAAAAATTAATAACAATAGATTTGTGGAGCGGATCAGTACAATAGATCTTAAATTTTGGTATTTTCATTCATATTCTAAATTTGAATTCATAATAAAAACAAGATATTATATAACCTTCTAAAGTTAATTCATTTTTATATAAAAAATTATTGTTATTCATTTTATTAAAGCTATTAATCAGTAAGTTATGAACTGAATGAATTTTGTTTAAGAACTAATTTAGATAAATCATATGGATTTTCATAAGTTTTTTATAGCAGCAATTAAAGCAACTACAGAGAGTTTATTACTTTCCTACCTATACTAGGTAAGGAAAGTATTGCAATCAGGTCAAATTTCCGATTTGCGGTTTTCGACGGATCTATACGTTTCAAAGCCCCCTGAGTCCGAAAAACACATTTTTAGCCATTGGTCTGTCTGTCTGTCTATGCCAAGATTTTCTCGGGAACTACTCAACCGATTTTGTTGCTTCTTTTTTTATTTTGAAGGGTTTTGACTACTGATGCCTATGACAGAAATTCGGAGCTCCATGCGCAATAAATGAAAAACATGTTTTTCTATTGCCTGTAGCGCGAAAACGGCTCTAACGATTTCGATGAAACTTTTCTATAATGTTCTAATCACTGTCCTTTCAGTTTTCATATATAAACTAAATTCCCGAAAATATTCAGAAAAAAAAGTTATAAAGAAAAGAAAAATGTTATGGGACCTAACTCCCTATGTATATATTATACTGTCGAATTTATAATACAACTTTTGAAAGGTACTTAAATTACCAACAAAACAAAAAGAAAATCATCGGAATCAAACTAGTATTAGCGATGATACAGCTTATTCTATTTTTTACACATTTTTAACTTATTACTTTCCTACCTATACTAGGTAAGGAAAGTATTGCAATCGGGTCAAATTTCCGATATGTGGTTTTCGACGGATCTAAACGCTGTTTAACCTTTCCTTTGAAAGGTAATGAAATACCCTACAAAGCCATATAAAAATCGTTCATTTTGGATAATTATTAACGAAGTTACAGCTATTCAATTTCCAATGTAAGATTATGGGTTCATATCCTGATGTCAAAAAGGGGTGAATGAGAGAATAAAGATGACTAAGTGATCTAAAAAAATCTGTTGTTTCTTTGTTGTTTGTTTCTTTATGAACATATGTAAAGACATAAAGACTTTTCTGAAATAAGTAGGAAAGTTGTGTGAGTGGACACACCAGATATTTTTATAATTCTTATATTATTGTTAAAGCCCTTATTCACAAACAATTAATTAATACAACTCTTTTATGGTATAATATAATAATGTCACTGCAATAAAAGCCCATTTTAAGAAATTTCCTAGTTAAGAAACAACAAATAAATTTGCTGGTAAGCAATAGTAATTACTTATAACTACCTGAGAGGAGGCCCTGGGAGAGACATATGAAGGAGCAGCATTAGGGCGCACTGATGCTGGAGGTGGCCCAACAACAGTCGGCTCTGGCAAAGTTAAATCTCGAGCCAAGCGTGCATATTCAACGTCCATGTGTTTGATGAATGAGCTGTTCAAAGCTCTCTTGGCTGAATCTGGATCTTCTTCATCATATGCCTGGAGTAGCATTTCAAGAGTTTGCACCTAAAACATTAGTAATAATTTAATTGAGGTTAAATTTTAAAATAATATGATTGGAAAATTAGTTGGGGGTCGCAGTCTGTGAGAAGCACATATAATAATTAAAAATTTATCGTGCTGGCATTTTGAACTACTGGTATTGGTGGGAGGACTTAGTCCAGCAAGTGGGCCTATTGGTCCTTTTTGCCAACCCCAAAAATTGATACTACCATTGGTTGTCTATTGTACCTCTACTCTGTCTCAAACTTTTACGTTCTTCTAATGAAATTCAAAAGGTTGGGCCATTTTATGGAGGCAGATTTGCATATGTGAATTCTGTCTGCTCCCAGAAGTCTGTATCTGAGTGATGCAAATCGGAGAATACAGAGTTCATCATCCACTATACCACAGATATTTAAATGTCTCTTAAGTCTGCAGTGGCCTGTTAGTACTCTGATGATGAGTCGGATTTCTTTCCTAGTTAGACCAAGCAGCAGTTTTGGAGTAAGAGCAGCTTTTAATAAATAGCTTCGCTTGTCTAAGCCCCGTGCATTCCCTCCATTCTTTACCTGCTTTTTTCCAAGTCCAATCAAGGACTTCTTTCCGCTGATGCTTTTCGGATATTCCTATTTATTGCAGGATCCGGACCTACAAATAGGACCTCCTTTTCTTGCAATGACATCGGATTTTTCATTGCCTGCGATTCCCTTGTGACCAGAGATCCACACTAGTCCCATCCTCTTAGAGCAGGCAAGTATCTCCAACGTCTGTTAACACTCCTGCAATAATGTGGAGGTCACTTTGGAGGACTCCAGCATTTTGAAATTAGTTCAAGGCCTTCATCACGACTGAGGGAAGACAAGATAAAAAAAAAAAAAAAAAATTGATAATTAAATTCTAAAAAGTGAATAAAAAGGTTATGAAGTATAAGTAAAATCAATATATATAAATAGAATATATATATATATATATATATATATATATATATATATATATATATATATATTAATATATTAATAAAACATATATTAGCATTAATATTATAATAGCATAAATGTAATAGCATTGAACACCTAATAATGCTCAAAACTAACCTCTGGAGCATCACAACAATTTCCCCATTCCTTGAACGCTTTTTCAGCAGCAACTGTGTCTCCTCTAGCTAACTGTACTAGAACCAAAGCTACAGCAAGTCGCCCTATAGCAGGAATATTTTCAGATTGCTGATGAAGTCCTATTTCTCGCCTAATAGCATCTGCTGCCTCATCGTACCTAAGAGAAAAAAAAAATTATAATTTCCATAAGTGATCCATGTAATACTATATTTATTTATTTTAAAAGGGTACTTCAATTTTTTATTTTTTTTTCCTTCCTATCTGGCCATTTCTGGCATATAGTTATTCTACAAGTTACCAACTTATTCCATCCAGAATGAGAAAGCAGAGATTCATTGTGTGGATCCCACACAAAATTAATTTCAATCCACCCAGACCAGATTCGGACTGAATCCGTTTGATTCAAGGTTGCTAAGGAGAGGCCTAAACATCCTTGGGGTGCTTAACCCAGCTAAAACTTGGTAAAACCATTAATTTTGAACGATACCAACAACAAATGATTGAGTATTGCATGAAAAATGGCCAGAATAACAAAAAAGGCAACACAAACTGATTCACCAGAAAAGAGCAACAGTTTTTCTGACAAGGCATTCATAAATTGCCAGAGAGATGGGAAAATGTATAGAAATGGACAATATTTTGAATAAAATTTTTTTTTTTCACTTTTGACCTTTTTTCTTGAATTATTTTCTCCCCATATTAAAATTATTTTTTAAGCAATAAACATGTATTCATAATTACATACCTGGGATATATATATACTGATACATGAATCAAGTATCGCTTAATTAAAGAGTAAAAGTGAATGTAACAGTTTATAGAATAAAGAGATGGTCCAGGGCAGCGCTCATAAAGAGACTAAAATAGTGGGAAAACTATTTTATTTCAACCCAACTTTACAGGTCTTTTTCAGGGCTAGAACGGGCAAGATACAAAAGAAAAAGAAAATGATATGAAAAATAAAAGAATAAAAATAGAGACTTATGGGTGCGGCGTTCAGCAAGGAGTTTTAGTTAAAACTGTAGAAACTTGGGTAAAGCACCCTTGGAGAAATTTGCTGACCTGATTGGGGGGGGGGGAGTTAGAGAGGGAAAACAAAACATTAGTAAAAACAAAACAAAACCTGGAATATTACAGTATCTAAAATCTGAAGTTATTGATGGATACAAGAAAAAATACGATATCCATACGATGAATCAACCCACATCCCCATGGAATAGAATCCTGTTAATCATAAAGAAGATAAAAAATGCATTTCTTTAACATATAGGCACATTTTAAATCTTATAAATAAAAAATAACTTCTCAATAATTATTGTTTATTTATTTTATATCTATTTTTATTGATTTATTTAATTTAATTGTGCATTACTTTTAAGTATTTCTGTTTTGTATGATCTTTCTTTTATTTTTAATTTTATATGTACATTCTACATCAATCTACGATAATCCGTTTTTATTTTGTATCCATTGTACTTTTAACCATTGTCTCAATTTTATCTAATATTTAAATTTAATTTGCTTACAATATATAAAACTAATTATAATTATTTATATTTGTTTCTTCTCTATACTTCTTAATTAGTTTTGCAATGTATGGTCTCTTATTTTTATGTTTACATTTTACTTCTATGTACAGTCTTTCATTTTTGTTTTTATCCACATAATACATCTATCTATAATTTCTTAATTCTATTTTGTATGTATATGTATATATTTATAATTTATTGGTTCATAGGTATCGTATTTTTTCTTATATCCATCAATAACTTCAAATTGTAGATACTGTAATACTCCAGGTTTTGTTTTGTTTTTACTAATTAACCCCTCTCCACCCTCCCAACCAGGTCAGCAAATTTCCCCAAGCTTTTTTATTTATCCAATGTTTGGTGGTCATTGACGGTCGATTTGCTGCAAGTTCATGACAGTTGTTCTGGGGTTTTCTTCGACTAAAGCCTGCAGAACATCGTCATCAAGAGAGGAAGTCCTTCCACAACCTTATTCGTCTTCAAGGCTAAAGTCTCCCTAATTTTTTGAGCCACCATTGAACAGGGCATTCATTAATGATGCTCTCGCCCCTTGACATCTTAGTAAAGACTGAATTATTTCTAGTAGCGAAATGAACAAACATTATCCTTTGGAAGAGGATTAATAAGTGTTGACATTCGTATAAATGAATAATCCAGTAAACGTAAGCAGGGGTATTTTATAGAAAACTCAAAATCCTGCATTATTATCCGGACAGCCCAATATCAAATTAGTTACCTACTAAGTGGTCTAAAACTATTTCAATTGTTTTTTACTTGCTGCTGATTGCATAATTTTTGGTACCTTTGTCAAATTTGTATGCCAAATTCGTAACGTGTTCAAAATTTATACAGATTTTAGAAAATCAACACTAATAAAATTACTGTAACTTTTTGAGATTTTTAAAGGCGTCAGATTCGTATAAAGCTTCCAAAATTTCATCTAACTTTATTAAATCTGTCATCTACTAAGTGGCCTGAAACTATTTTAGTCAGTCTTTTTCCTGTTACTGATCATGTAATCCCTACATATATTATTACAGTAAGGCTCGAAATCGGTTTTTTACCAAATATAAACTCCTGTCATGCTTAAATACCATGAATGGGGTGCTGTTAGATTCAGAATTTCACAGGGGGTTAGCGAATTGTACTCTCCACTTTTGTTTCTCTTTCTAAAATAAATAAAGTCGATACAAACATTTGCTATGCTTCAATACTGGAACGGTGGTAAGTCTGTAGATCGATACAATACACAATCTTACGTTAATTGTAGTACTGTCATTGAATAAATGTCTCATTTCGTTGACTTGAGGCCCCTATGATCGAGAGAGGAGGAGTTTATATTATTTATCGATCGTGTTTTTGATCGGCAAGCCACATCATCGTTAATTCTTCACCAAATCCCAAGATTGTGCCACCAATTTTGAAGGCTTCCTTCTCCTTCAGGTGGGCAAAATAGTCCAATCACCCCGAAAATTCAGGCAAACAAGTTATGAAAGAAAAGAAATTTGTGAAGTTTATTTGCGAATAACTAAAAAATTACACACTTTTCCCTTGGTTATTCCCATGATTATATAAAAGATTACTAAATTTCGTACAAAAGGAAAAATAATCATCGAAATCGGACAATTTTTAGCAAAGATACAGCTTATTGAAATTTGTAAAAATTGTTGGTTCCAAACATTAATGAAGTTTTAAATTAATTTTTGTTTCCTTTGTCGATTATATTTATCGATAAAGTAACAATTGATTTCTTTATCTTGCTATAACTTGCATTATTTTATTTTATTATTAATTTGGCATTTGATCACTTAACAATATGCTGCAAATTTTTCGCACGAACCTACTAGTTTTTTAATTTAACCATAGTCAAACGCTTCCAGTCAGCCGTCTGACTCGTGGGTTTTTGGCATTAGGGTTGTAATCTCTAATGTTTCTGCTTCTGATCACGTGGTTAAATCATCGGTAGATCCTGGACTATTACCAGAACTATAACCGGTTACCAGACTATAAAATAAATCTCAATAGAGAATAATAGTCGTATGCAACAGTCTAGTAATTAGTAACTAGCGACAGTAGAGGAATTTTGATCAGTTGAGGTATTTTGATAAAAAATTCTCTCATCTTTTCTTATTGAGAATTACTCATCAATAATTCTGTTTTGATTGATAGCAGCTTGAGATTTTCATTTCAAGATATTTTTGTGTCAATGGATTGCACATTTCTTCCTAATATAACAGGAAATTACTCCTCACTGAAGTAAAATATTAGTAATTGCAAAGGAGTTTCATAAAAATCCTATCCATATCGAAGAACTTTGAAAGTTAGGTCTCATCTGCTTCTTTACCTTTTCTAGATTTTTTATTTGATTCTGAAGGATGTTAATATCATATGCTAAAGTTTCTATTTTTATTTATTTTTTCATGGCACTGAAACCCAGTTATAGGTTTAGGCCTCCTCCAATCATCACGGTCTTTTTATTTTTAGTTGTTGTATTACCTTTCATTGACCAAAGACTTAAAAGGAAACACATTTGTTTTTCATAGGAATTTTTAAACATCCTGGGTGCCCTCTATACGTTTTATACATAATGCTTGCAATATTAACCAAAAAATAGTAAAAGGCTTTACCAAAACATCTGGGAAATGCAGCAGAAAGAGGCCAAGAAATACTGTCTCATAGAATGGGGAAAAGCTGGTTCTTAGTTTGATGTTAGGTATTAGTATTAGACTCAATATTAATATAGCATATTTAGATGAGGAGTTGCATTATATAAGTGTCCTAGAGTTTTGATGAATAACAGAAAACAATAGCAATGGGATAACCCTAATTAATCATCCTTAAGGATTAAAACTCAAATATAAGAATAATCAAACTAAAAAGGTAAAAAAAGGGGTTAAACAAAAGAAAGTTTTAAATATAGCACCATTACTTTGTCAAATTTTAAGTTGAAAGATATGGGAAAATATTTTACCAAACAATAATACTTACATTTTTAACTTCACTAATATTCTTGCTGTTTTGCTTACATATTCTGCACCTTGCCTGGCATTATCTTCAATCTAAAAATGAAACAAAGTTCAATTATTATAAAATTCTTCTTATAAATATATCTTGCAACAATTCTGATAATTCTAAATAATTTTATTTTAATGGAAAAAAAAAATGTTGTTTTAAGACTTATGATTTTACAATATGGTTGTATACATATTAATATATCATGCTACAAACCATAGTTTGGCAAAAATTATCTGTAACTAACAACTAAACGCTTTAGCTAAATTAACTTTAACAGCAACAGATAAATAGTTAAAAATCAGCTGTTAGCTGTTTGCATGAAGATAATTCTTCATTCCGATATATCTAAATTAGCTATTAGCGGAAACAAGCACCTAATTTTTAGCTATCCCTATAGCTAACAACTACTTACAACGGAAGGTTACGGATGTGGGGTCACCGATTTCAATGAAACTTTTTTATGGTAATACTAGGTAGTAAAATATTAGACCTATGTCAGAGGGTTCTTGCCAATGCACCACTAGAAATCGAGAAATAAAACATTTAATAAAATTTTGTTATTTTTTGTATTACTGTTTTCTGACTGCTCTGCATGGATTTCAGAGCTATTATATATCAATCTGTATGTTTTTTTTTCTGTAAAATAAGATGAACATATTGCTAGTTGTATCAAAAGAATTCTAATATATAATAAATTACAAAACCCCATAGATCATCCAATAAAGTAAATTTTTGTCATGAAAAAGCGATTCAGAATCGTTTTTAGCATCCACTTAAACTCTTAAATAAGAGGTTGTTTTGAAATTTAAAAAATACAAATTATTAGAATTTTTATGGATATAATTTTATGGAATGATTTTATTTATGTCGCACAATAAAATTTTCATAAGTCCTCAGAATTAAGTCAACAGTACAATAACTGTTGTAAAGCTAAATTATTGCCTTTCAAAACGCTTCCAATAACTTTCAGATTTTATGCCTTAACAAGGAACATATAAAGAAAAACTCCCCAAACGTTTTTATTTTTTATCTCCAAGCCTAATTTATTTGTGGAAGTTTAGTTTGTGCTATTTCATGTAAATTATAGGGCCCTAAAAACATACTAATTTTGGTGTAGATATGGGCAGCCATGTCAATGTTACCACAATTTTTGTGATTTTTGAAAGAAGTCCAAAGCTTCAGCTAGACAGAAATTTTAAGCAAATAATTTTAATTTTTTGATTGGTATGAAAATTCGTATTTTAGGGCTTTTCGAGGTGAGAAATGCAAATCTCAACTTTGTTTCTCCTTAAAAAATAGTTTAACCCACTTTAATCCTTAGGTCAGTACTAATCGTACTGTCCAATCTCCCCACACGTCCATAATAACCTCCCCTTGTTAGTTTTATCTATAGTTACAACTAAAAACTAGTAGATAAATTCATATATACAAAAAAAAAACTGCAAGCAACATAGTTCCGTCTTTAAAGTCTTAAATAAATAATCTGAATTTACCTATTATCTTTTTATGCAATATTTTCAAATAAAAGTTCAAATAATTTAATTGTAAATTTCTTTTAGTAAGCCTTTTAGTATTGCACAATTGCGCATTTAATATTTTTAGCTTTTCAGATATTTTTTCAATAGAAGGGTCCGCTATAGTTTTGTAGGGAGCCCTTTTTACAAAAATTCTGTTGGATTTAAGATTGTGTATTGAATGTTTGTAACTCTGTATGTTTTTGATACGAGGGTCCACTATTATGCTGTCAGAGGTGATTTTTATGAAAATTCATTTGGATTTTAGACTGTGCAATAGTGCATCAAAATTTTGATTTATGATTATTCTATCATGGATTAAGTTTTTTGGATACCTTCAATATTAGGGTCCATTCTAACATTTTCAAATGCTCTTTTTATGTGAATACTGTCGGATTTAACTTGCTTGAATTACAGATTTAACTTTTAAAGCAGGTAGCATATACCTCTTTCATTCTCTCAGACTTTACATAGTACCTTACAATCCAACCCATCATAATCAGTAATCAGAGTCCTGGCTCGGTTTGATTATTCTAGATTATTCAGACAAACTTCTTGCCGCATCTCAGTACCCATTCCCATTTCTATCTTCCCACGATCTTATCCAGATCTCTTACAATATCCTTGTCCCATCCTTTTCTCCCCGAACAACATCCTTCTGAAACCTATATTCTCTCACTCACGAAACACTGTCAAAGGATCTTGACGATATCCAATGGGATCCCATATACTCCTCAAAATCCACAGACACCATGGTAGAAACCCTTACCACTCATCTTCACTCTATCCTCGACCGACATGCTCCTCTTATCACAAAAACCATCCGATATCCTCCCGCTCCTTGGCTTACTCCTGCTGAGATACTGCAAGGCGGCGGTTTAAACGAACTCGACTTCCTGATGATTTTCTTTCCTTCAAACAGCTTCGAAACAGCATTCAATCAGCAGTATCCCGTGCCAAATCCCTTTACTACCATCATCCAACTCTCCTAATACCAAGGCCACGTGGACTATTCCTAGAAAACTGACCACTGGTAATGCAACCCAGTCCCAGCCCAATTCCGTTTCTGCTGATAACCTCAACGCTAACTTTGTCTCCTGCCATCTTCCAACCACATCTCATACGTCCAGTCCGGCTCCTATATTTTCTTTTTTTAATCCTGATCACTTCTTTTTTTTCCATATTACCCCAGATGATCTCCTTAAATCCATTCAGAAGTCCCATGCCAATGATTACGGTCCCGATAACATCCCAGTCAGAGTGATTAAAGCCACATTGTCATCCATTCTTCCGATCCTTTATCATATATATAATTATTCTCTTCAAAATGCTACCTTCTCCACATCCTAGAAAACCGCCCTATTACGCCCCTTAAAGAAGACCTCAAACCCATCAGCTCCTGATGATTTCCAACCGATTTCTCTTCTTTTAAACATCTCAAAGCCTTTGGAGCGATTAGTCCAATCCCAGCTATCCCATTTTTTAGAGGACAATAATCTCCTAAATCCCTACCAGTCCGGCCTGGTTATTCTACTCAGTCTGCCCTAATCAAAATTTCCCAAGACCTTCACACAGCCATGGATCAGCAGAAACTAACCATCCATATTCTTCTTGACTTCTCCAAAGCTTTTGATTCAGTACACCACAACATCCTCCTAACCAAACTTAAAAATATCTCTTTTTCTTCTAGTTCCCTTAATTGGTTCCAATCCTTCCTTACTGGGCGCTTCCAGTATGTTGTAATTCCTAATAATCCCCCATTAGAATCTCTACTTCTGTCCAGAGGCGTCCCACAAGGCTCTTCCTTATCTCCCACCCTTTTCTCCATCTATATAAACGACCTCTCGTCCTCTTTCCTGCACTGTCAATACCACCTTTATGCTGACAACATTCCAATTTACCTCTCCTTTAATCTAACTGATTTCTCGGATGCCATTCTAAAACTTCAAGAAGATATTAACAGAATAAGGGCTTGGTCAAACCTCAACAGGCTCACTCTGAACACAAAAGACAAAAGCCATCTTGATCGGATCCCTCTCACTCCTAAAATCCTTCCCGGTATCCTCCAATCTCCTCCTGAACAACTCACCTATCTTATACTTCCTGATGTACCGTTAAAAACCTAGCTGTTACTTTTGATCAAACCCTATCCTGGAAAACATGTTGCACTATCTCCACCCTAAAACAGTTCAATCGTCTACTTTATCTCCTTCCATATAAGTCCCATCAATTCCTAGTTTCCTCCCTTGTTTTCCCCCACTTCGACTATGGCTGTATGGTGCACAGTGGACTCTCGGGAGATTTCGAGGCCAAACTTAAATGCCTAATGAATTGCACATTATGATTTGTTTTCAGAATCTCAAGGGATACGAATATTAACCAGTATTACACCGAGTTGAGGTGGCTCTACCCATCCTATCGCCATCAGTACTTCTTAGCCACCTTTCTCTACCAGATCATTAGAACTCATCGACCCTCCTATATTTTTCATAGCTTACAATTCATATACTCCATCCAATCCTGTCCCACTAGATCTCGTATTTCCAACCTTTATCCTCCTCCTCACCGAACTGCTGTGTCGACACGCACAATCAGTTTCCTCTTTCAAACCTCTCCTCTTTAAACACCTACTCCTTTCTCAGACTGATTACGAAATATACCTAAGAGAAATATCTAAGTACAACCAGATACTACCTCAATTTATTTAGGTTATTTTAGTTTCTTATATATAGTACAATTTTCTTGTTCTTTTCTTTCTCTTCTTCAGTATTTTTAATCAACTCTTATTGTAAATATATGATTTAATAGTGACCACACAGACATACAATCTGTACTTATAATTTGTTCTAAAGTCACAACAGTCCCAGAATAATAAAATATTTTTATTTCATTTCATATTCATAGTGGAGTAGCTGAACGAGCTAATGTGTGTGCACAGCACCGCCGCTGTCCGGCAATCTGATATATGAGACAATGGATTTAAAATAGTCACGAGTTCATGTCACGGTGCCAGGGAAGTCTTTTAAATCTCACAACCCTGGCCCGGGAAAACGCTGTATAGCATTTAAGGCGAGGAAGGGAAGGACCCAAAAAAAAAAAAAAAAAAAAAAAAAAAAAAAAAAAAAAAAAAAAAAAAAAAAAAAAAAAAAAAAAAAAAAAAAAAAAAGGCATATTCATGAACTGTGAATAAGAAAAATGAATTATGGATCGAAGAAATCCGAAAAGTATCAAAAACTCTATGCGCGATCTGTAATTGGACAGTATTTTCATAAAAAGGGTTCCCGGCAACATAATAGTGGACCCTGATATCGAAGAAACCCAAAAAATATCGAAAAGGAGGGGATCAGGCCAGGATCACGCTCAACCACCAGGTTTTTCCCCATAAACAATTATTTAATTAAGGGTACCCACTTTGTAGAGGCTGGGTGTGCCCTAGGAGGGTATTGGAAGCTTAGTACTCTACCACTGAGCTACATCGCTCCCTAATGGTAGCCTTTAACTCGAAGAAATTCGAAAAGTTACATACAGAAGTTATTCAAATAAAATTATTATCTTAAATAATGAATAAACTATCTGTTCAAAGGGCATCAAATAAAGAATAATGGATAAAAATTTATCTATTATACTTTATCTTTATAAAAATGTATTCCAATAACACCCGACACTACAACCACCATCATAGGTAATCGCTGACAAAAGCTCGTTCCAAATATTTTCCTCCATGGTTAAAATAATATAAAGGGATAACTTACACAATAATGAAGGGCATGCCGAAGGATTCAAAAAATATAACGACAATTAAACCAAAATAAAGATTTGATCATTGTTCACAGATTATTATTTAAAAACAACATTAGAACCATCCTAATAAAATAATTAGCTATAGCTTATAACCAACAGCAAAAGCTAATTAGTGTTAATTGTCATAAGAGCTAGAGCTAAAAAAGAGCTGTTCCTTTCAGATAATTTTACTGTGAAAACTAGCTACGATCCAACAGTTAATAGCTAAACTGCATATTTATCGCAAATAATTTGGAGATAATTAGTTGTTTAGCTGAATCTTAGTTAACTAAAAATATTTAATATACATTATATTAGATGATCATTGAGTCACATTTTATAATATCATTATACTACATTGTATTAATCTACTATGTTACATATATATATATATATATATATATATATATATATATATATATATATATATATATATATATATATAAATTGATAGCAGAAAAAAAATATATAACCATGTAGAAATTATTTACTTGTCATTAATGGCACTGACAAATATATGTCCCCATCTGGTTAGACTGAATTGTAATTATTGGTTAATAAAACTCTAAAAAAAAAAAATTCGATTACATTCCTACAGCAGTACAGCAATCTTCTAACATCCACGGGTTTGACAATTCAAAGTTTTTATTATGGCCAAATAGAAAAATGCTGAATAATTCCAGATTTTGGAATTGCATGTTTTACTAATTGTTGTGATTATGGATAAATCAGCTTCTTATGGCTGGTTTTTATTTGGCCAAATAATAATCAGATATTGTATTTTACTATCATTCCTAAAGTTTTTTTTTAATTCTTAGAATTCATTACAACTACGAATTTGGCTCTGGAGAAAATTCTTATAAAAATAGATTTAAGTTTAACTCAACATAAATTCTGATCTTATAACTACTAATCCCTAAACTTGAACTGAAAACAAAACAATAGATATCAAGCTAACTCTCAGGGCCAACGAAATGTGGGCCACAGTAACAATAAATCTCCAACATTTAATTTTTTTTTTCTTTTGCTTCAGTATACTCATTAACAAGTAAATTAACAGTGATCTACTGCAATCTCCAACTGATGACGTTCAACATCTGGTCTACTATTTCTAACACTAAGAAACACTTCACAGTGATCAAGCAAACATCTAATTACAGAAACAACATCCGCTGCCCGTCGATAAAGCTGCAGAGCTTCAGATGGCTGTTGCTGTTCAATAATTTTGGCGGCCTTATCCAGAACACCTGCTGCAGCATCAGGTGAACCTTGTTGCTGATACCAAGTACAGGCCTTATCAGCCAACTCAGCAACACTCCGAATATCTCCCATCTCTTTGCAGATAAGTATTGCTTGTTCCAAACTCCTAAATTAAAAATAATAACTAGAGTTTGTTCTCAACATTATTTTTCATAATATAATATGTGAGAAACATATTAAGTTAATACTAAATTACATAAGAAACCTTGGTATAAGAAATTATATATAAAACTTAACAAATAAACCATTATAAAAGCTACAAAGCATACCTGAATACTTTTAAACTGGTCATTTATAATTAAAAATGTTAACTCTACTATTTCTCACCTGAGTTTCAAAAAAATTCAGATTTTTACTTTCATTTACCTATGTATGAAATATATAGTAAGGGAAAGTATCAAGATCCTGAAATAATCAATTTAATCAAAATTGTTTGAGCCATTTTTGATGAAATTGATTATTTCAATGTAAAATCAAGCAGGTTTTAATGAAATGTAGGTTTTATTCTCATTGATGTTCTCTACCAGGGCTTAAATGGCTAATTTTCAATATTTCTTCCTCCAAAGTACCTTTAATTTTTACGTCCACTAATTTTTTCCACAAGAGAAAGTATTACGATCGTGAAAATTTTTTAATCCAAGTTTTCAACAGAAATACATGTTTTGAGGTCCCCTGAGTCGTACGAAACTGATATTACGTATTTAAGATAGGTATATGCCTTAAATGTGACAGCAACTTTTTCCTTAAAATTGAAAGTGTCACTTAATATCAGCAGTGAAACACATTTTTACAATTTTCTCAAACGGCTACAATGATTTTGATTAAGCTCAGTGTATCATTGTATAATTAAGTGGTATCATTGAGATCTTACTTCTATTGATGTCATTTTACAAGGCTCAAATGCTCAATGTTCATATACGTCTTCCTCTAAAGTACCTTTAATATGGTTTATTTTGAAAATTGGACTCTCTTTTATTGACAGTAACTACAAAAAATGGCTAAATATAACTTTTAAAAGAATTATATAATTGAAAGTGTCCTTTTGAGAACAAAGAAAAATGCCTATCCAGGTCGAAAATGAATGTTGTATAATATATCTTTGGAAAGCAAAGAATTTTAGAAAAATTCTTTTGTGAATAATATTAAATAAAGAAAGTTGTAGAAGGCAGTGGAGAGTGACAAAAAAATATAAATAATAATTTCAGAAAACTAACATTATTTAACATAAATCACACGTTTCCAAGGAAATTAAATGAAATTTTCTTACTAAATGCAAACTTTTAACTTGTTTTCTAATTTTGAGAAAAAAGCATTTAAAATCCAGCGAATCAAGCCAATGCCATTGTTTAAAATACTATTTTATTGTACTTATGTGAAAGAAGAAGTGAAATATAAAAATATTTCATGGATATCTTTATAACCATAAATACCTTTATTGTAGTTTAATAACTCTAAATATGGTGTTATATTTAAATAATTGGGTATCTATTGGCCGTTTATTCCAAAAAATCATCAAGTAACCTTTTAGAAAACTAAATTAGTGAATAATTTGTTGAATTTTCTTTTATAAAATCCCAACATTGTTAACTTATAATTAGTGACAACTTTTGACCTGTCCATGTCAGGCATTGAAAATCTTGTAATTTCATTTTAGTAAACTTTACAATGGAAAATAACAGTTTAATGAAGAATAGTCCTGCAATCCATAATCATTTATATGTTAAATATTTAGATAAACAATACTTTCAAATCTCTCTAGACATATATGTGCCTTTCGGTTGACAGAATGACTATCTCAAATGTCAACATTTTTTATTATTAATTTTAGTGATATTTCTAGTTGCAAAATTTATACTTTTATTCACAGTTCTATATTTCAATTTTATGATAGCCCAACAATGCCAGAAAATAATTTCTATTCAAAGTAGATCAGTAAATGAAAGTTGTGTGTTGCGCGCACCAGATTTTTTTTTATTTGAAATAATTATTAACCATTTCACAATTAGCTCTGATATAAAAAATAGTGAAATATAAAATATGAAAGAACTCGATAATTAACTAAAGGAGGAAAAGAAATTTTAACAATAATTGTGATAGAGAATAAAACCTACATTATTTTAAAAACTGTTTAATTTTACACTAATAGTTATAACAGAAGACTAGTTATAATAGAGTGACCAAAATAATACAAGTTCGTCCGAAAGATTAGAACTGGCTTCCATACGTAACATGAGCTCCAAAAATATTATATCCATAAACATATACAGTTTTCATAAATGCTATCATTGGTATTATTTAATATTTAATTGAATAAATTACAGCAATATATAAATTAAAATTTTGTATCAATATCAGTACTTAAGCAAATAAAAATATCCACAGTGAAATATAAATAAATATAGCGACCTTCTTTATCAGTGGCACTTAATTCATTATTATAATCAAATAAATAACTGAAATATACAGTTGTAAAAGGAAATGGCTAGTGACGACCGAAATAAATGTAATATATTAGATGGCTATGAAAAATATATGGTAATTAATTGTTTTAAATAATGTTTCATACCGCCTATAACTTTTACTATCACTTCCCTTTGTTTGAAAATACTTATTTCTGCTAACAACAGGGTGGTAAACGAAAATTGTGTAATTTTTTATAGAAATACTTATAAATTCAGAAACATTTTTTGCTATTGAATGCAAAGAGAGGTTAGTGGGAACATTTTATAGCTTAGGAGGAAACTTATCTGTCAGAAAGAAGTTTTGGGTCTAAGATAATAAGGATCAAAGAACATAATATGAATGAATTCTATATCTCTTTCCCTAAATAAGAACTGTTAAAGCAGTGAAAAAAAAGTCATGAGGAGGGCGAGGTAAGAAAATTATCACAAAATGTAGGAAAAATTATAGAATGATTGTTGATATTTTAGAGAGAAAGACAACGATCTATACTTTGTTCGGCTAATTTTTGAAGATAGAGGAAAACTTCTCAATATAAATTTCTAGATTAACAGCTAAGCGAGAATAAAAGGAGAAATAGTTTTTTATACAACATGAATACGCTGGAAGATATCTTTCAGATATTTTATATCTGTTTGCCGCATATTCAGAATAGCATTTTTAGAAAAGCAGTAACAAAATTTGTTAGAAACTAAAAAAATACTAAGTGGCTCAAACAACAAAAACTTTGTTTGTATTTAAAAACATTTGCTAACTACATATACAAAATAGTGAGAGTTTAATTTAGAATAAATCATTATACATTAGAATAGAATAAGAACAAACTTTATTCTGGGATTAGGTCTCTGAAGAATAGAATTATTATTATATCATATATCTAAATATATATTTAGAAAGACTTTTTATTAAAGTATAAGTATGATTTCATGTTAAATAAGTAGATATTATTTAATTATTATAATTATATAATTATTTGAGGAGCGAAGTAGCTCAGTAGATAAGCACTGATTCCAAAGCTCAATGTCCTGGGTTCGAATCTGGGTGATGGCAAGTAATTTTTTAACAGCCATGGATCAAGCCTGGAGTCAGGAGACCACCCTGGGACATACCCAGCCTCAATAAAGTGGGAATTCCTAATTAAAATAATTAATTAAGAGGGAGTACGGGAGGGTTGAGCGTGATCCCAGCTCAATCAAATCTCTGCACAACTGTTGCTCTTGAAACAGTGCTTCCTTACAATGTACTGAACCCAAGACCCTTCATGAGTTTTTTTTTACATATAATTATTACTTGCTTTTCCTGAAATTGTAAATTTTTAAAAGAAAAGATTGTTTAGGTCAATGTATAAATTAGGTGAACAAAAGTTTATTATAAAAAGTTTGTTTAGTAATATTAAGAACAATATTATGTATCTTAAAGGAAAAATGAACGTTTTAGTTGGGATTAATTCTGACCTTAATAGTCAATAAGATAAAGAGTAGGATTCTCACAGTTCTTCCACTATACCTTTCTTTAGTATTTACATTAAGAATTCTGCTTAACATCAATAAGAATATTCTGTTGAATACATGGTATTCTGGTTGAGCACCGTGTTAAGAGCCACCTAGAGAAAGACACACATTGTAATGTGTTCTTGAGAAGAAAACATTAGTGAATTGAATTCATTTAGCAATTACTAAAAGAATGCGGCACTTTTACAATGTAATTTTAGGTTATTTAATGTTAAGAAAAAAAGCGGATATAAATTATTTTTATTAAATAATGGGCATAATTACAAATTACAATTGAAAAAAATAACACTCCCAGATTCTCAAAATAGTAAATTTTTAATTCTCTAAGAAACATAAGTAAACTTCACAAACCTGGCTGCATGGAATAAGGATCTATTTTGTCTATGACAATCTGCAGCTTTTAGGTGACAATCTTTGCTTTGCTCATAGTGTTTACCCAAGCGAAAGCATGTTGCTAAAAATAAAAATTTAATTTAATGAATAAATTAAACAATAATAATAATAACAAAAACATTTTTTTTAATTAATGTACAATTTTTGTATTCTTTAATTATTAATATTTAGTTTCCCTTCAATGAATGCAAACTGCTGTGGCAGCTAAATTTAGTAAACTTTTCCTTGATCATATCCTGAACTGGAATGAGCTGCTAAACGCAAGATAATGATTGTTATACAATGTAGTCAGAAATTAGTGTACAAGTGCAGGAAGCTTTAATTTATTTTGGATTCAGAAATGGTCCAAATCAAACAAAATTATAAATTGTGAACAAATAAATTTGCTCTCCTGGTATAAAAAAAATTCAATCTGTGACATGGATGATTAAGCTTAAATATGTATTTGGATGCATACTCAAAACAATCATATGCACTAAATAAAATATGATTAATGCAGAATCTTTGACACATTCATTGTCAACGGGTTCTAAAACAAAAATATCAATATAGATTACTTAAAAAAATATTTTCAGCAAAATGTATTTATTTAAGTCATGAATCCAAGTGGAATTTAATTTGAATTTAAAAAGATGCATTTATCATTGATGAGGTTTTAAAGTAATTTTGATTGTATACAAAAGATAATTTTCAAAAAGCAAAAAATTATTATTTTATATGTAAATACCTTTTTCAAATATTGAAAATAATAAATTTTCTTTTTATTACATTGTGATTAAAAACAGATTCTTTCAAACGAATATTGCATTTATAATACAAACGATAAACATTCTTCCTTTAATTAAAGGAGTTTTTCATAGCCGATTCTTCTAAAATATTCATAAATTTCATGTTTTGTTTATTTGTATTTATTTATATTGTTTAAAAGAAGTAATAGCAATAAAATATGTCTCTACATAAAACTATTTACTTTTTTTTTTACATTATAAAGCGCAAATTCCTACAGGTAAGAATAATTATGAGTTTCAAAATGGCGGTTTTAGAAACGTTTCTGCCAGATGCAGAGAGTATGCATGACAGACTAACCTCATTTGATCCAGGAGGTGGTATGGTATAGTATTGTTTAAAAACAATTTTTAAATAATAACTGTTACTATACTAAAAGTGACTGACGATATTTAAATAGTTTCCACCTGTAGAGTAGGAAAACATATGGTTATAACCTTCAATGACTTTAGGGTAATAACTTTAGATTCAATAAGGAATTAAAATATTAAGTAGCTCTATTTGACCAGAAATTAATAAATAGTTAAATGTGTGGTAAGAAGTTAAAGTTTTGTTATGTGTGCACCAGATTATATCAAATGATTAATAAAACATACAGTTTTATATTATATTTTATCAACAATCATAAATCATCCTATTAGTGACTGCCTTTAATAACAAACAATAGTTCATTGAGGCTGCTCTAACATTCCTAGTAGAAATTCAAGTAAAAATTTTGAAAATAAATCTATCAGATTATTTTTATAACTAAATGATTACTAAGACTTGGTCAAATATTAATCATTTGTTAGCTACCACCAAAAACACCAGCGTATTTAATTACAAAAAGCAATTTTTGTTTCGTAAATACAAATAAGCAAGTAATCAATAGATCTATATCATAAGAATGACAAACAAAAATGTACTACAATACAATTACATTAAAATTTGACAAGAGATAGCAAAATAAATGGGTATGTATAAAAAAAAACAAAAAAAAAAACACTATATAGATTATCACCTGCTTTTGTGTATTCATCAGCAGCGACATCATAATCAGGTCTCCACTTCAGCAAAGTGGTTTTCATGCTGACAAAAAATAAATGTCAAGTCAAATACTGTAATATAACAAACTACATGACCTGTCAAACATGAAATTAATTAAATCTTTCAAAAGAAAACATTTAAATGACACATATTATACAAATAAAAATTAAATTCATGTTTTCTTTGGGTATTAATTTCTACTTTACATGAAATTTTAAATTTTGAGCCATAACATGTACACAATTATAAAATTTACCAGAATACACTTAAGTTGACGTAAATATTTATTGAAAACTTATTATATTTATCAAACGAATAAATAAGATTGTTGGTAGAAATGTTATGATTTTAATCAGTAAATTTAAAAAAAAATTATATTGTATAATTTGATGGTAGGGAAATCAAGTTTTAATTTACCTTTTTTCGGCAGCTTTAATACACTCTAGTCCTTCTTCAATTTTCCTAGCTTCCATTGCGTTTAATTTACTATTTAATGCCTGACAATACAAAACTATGAATGTTTAATACTTAGAACCAGATACACCATTCACAGCAGTGATAACGTTCTGTGTAAAGCAAAAACCATATGATATGACAGATCAGTGTAGCCATGTTATTCATGTATTTTAATTTATTTTTAACAGTAACTATAGAATTCAGATTTGTTCAGAATGTACAGACAATAAAGAAAAAATGTTTTTAAGAAGTATTGCATTTCTGCCATTTCAAGTAAGTAACAATTTCAAACTCAATTCAATATTAACTAACTGAACAATAATTGGAACTCTTGTTCAGTAGATTTAAACTTTGTTTTTGTTTGTTTTTAAATTATACGACAAAGAAGTTAAATAAATGATGTCTTTATAACGCTGACATTAAGTGATTAGTTGTGGTGAATTTCTCAGAGCAAATTATATATAAAATGGTCACAGGAAATGGTAGAGTTTCTAACCAGTCCTTAGGTGTTATTGTATTAGCTTGATTCTAGCTGAGTTTTCACTGTTCTAGATGTTGTTTTATCAACTAAATATTTAACATTCGTCTGGAGCGCCAAAACTAAAGAATCTAAAAAAGTAAACTTACTTCTGCTACATCTTTTGGCGCCATCAAGGGTGCAATTAATGAATAAGTAATTGTTTATAAATGTAAAGTAACCATTATTTTTTATACATATAAACACTGACGGATCTACGGAGGGCTTTCGGGATGAAGCCCTCTCCCCTACCTTCCCCAAAATGGTAAAATATAACCATGTTTTATAGAAAAAAATATAAAAAATTGTCTCTTAAAGTATTATTGTTCATGTAATGACATTTAATAGGACTTCAAGAATCACTTAAACACCATTTTATACAGGTAGTTATTTTCTTTCTTTCTTTTTTTTCAAATTAATTATTAAAAAAACAGCTTTCGGGATGAAGCCCTCCCCCCAAAATTAAATTCTGGATCCGCTATGGCATATAAGATAAGCTGATACCTACAATTTATCAGTGTTGCCGCTATGCCTTCTTTCCCCGGTAAAATCGTTCCGGAAGCTTCAAAGATCTTGAAATGCTAGCCATACGGGGGTCTCCGGTATTTTTAACGTGAGATTGGAGAGGAAGAAGTGACCAACGAAGAGTTTGCTGAGGGATTTGCTGCGACAGGTTGAAGATTTTCTTTCTGGTCTCCAGTAAACTGGATCTGTTAGCTATTATTATCTTCCAAGAATTCTTTTTCTATACCAACGTTGCCAAAATAAGCATCATCGAAAGGAATTTGAAAAATGAGCTATTGCGCAGAATCCTTTTTTTCCATAGCGTTTAACTGTGGTTTCCATTTACGGACACGACTTCATACGGTCTAGGATCCAAAAAAGATGTGAACTGAAGGTCTCTGGATGAAAACTCAATACCGAAAAATAAAAATTTGTTTACAGAAAACTGAATGTTTCCATGTCAAACCTGCATCTGCGAGAACATTGATAACTCCTACAATGTCCTATCATTGCAGTGGTGGATTCAGGACTTTTCTCAAAGAGGAGAGCATCTGGTGCTTCCCCCACCCCTACTCGTTCTGCCACCACTACCCATCTCCCCCCACTCCTTAGCTGAGTTAAGCCACTCTAAAGTCCTCTTTAAATGGTTTAACAAAAACAAACTCTATTTTTATTTAAAGTAAATTGGGTCTAGTATATAGTGAAGCAATCTTTAATTACTTTTTTTTTAATTATGATATTTACAACTGTATCAGTATAGATACATCAACTAAATGTGTACAGAGGAATATAATCACATGAAAACGCTTGTTGAGAAACTAAGCATTGGTAGTACTCTAATATTTACTTAAATTAAAAAGTTTTTTAATGATCACTTCCTATTCAACTTTCTGCCGCTGATCATGTGGTTAAATATTCAGTAAAACCAGGACTAACGCCCCAATAGATTTTCTTTCGTAATTCTATGAACAAAGGGTCGTTAAGAATCCGGCCTTTGAAGAGGTGAAGTCACACAAGTGCCGTCATTCACATTCTGGCTGGAATAGGCTTATAATGTGTTGAGTAATTTATCCTTCCTGTCATAATTTCAGACTGTCAAGACATGCTTTTATAACCACATTTTTTAAAAGTTATTCTCAATTTTTTTAAGGTTGCAGAGACAAAGAGATCATGAATATTTTTCAATTCTTGACATTATAAATTTTTAGGTAAAAAAAGTTCTAAAACTGTAATCGTTATCCCTCCTCCATGTTTGATGTAAAACATATGAAATATATTTTATTGTTTTGTCGATTCAATCCCGTCATCGATGCAACCTTATGCACTTGGATTCCAACTAAGGATATTACATGTTAGTAACACATTGCATACTGAGTATGTACAACATATAGCCCGATAGCCCGTGGCAAAAAAGGTAACTTTTTTAAACAAATCGACCATGTCCACAGGTCTGATGAGAAAAATGTATTTTTGCCAGTATATAGTCTCTGAAACACGAAATGGCGGCCAGGTGAAGGTAGATAGAGACCCTATATAGGTAGAAAACTTATATAGAGGGCCTATAGATATAGAAAGCTTCCAACCCTTTAAATTCATAGTATTTACTCTGTTAAGACATGAAATAATAGTCATTTACTCCATATCTGACGATTTCAAGTTGAAAATTTGATTTTACTTTTTTCGGTTCTTCGCTTATATCAGTGCATCCATGTTTTTTAGCGATAATAGCAATAGAAAAATCATCTTTACCATGGAACAAAGTAACTAAAGAATAACAATATTGTTCATATAAATAACCAATAAATCTGGTCTAGAGACCTGTTACAATAAAGAGTAACTAAAACATAAATAATAAGACAAGCCAATAAATAGTTCTAGAGATCTGTAAACGAAAGCAGAAGAGCATTAGGGTTACAATTCTGCAAAATACCTGCTAAAAATAATAAAATAAAGATAACTAAATGATATTAGACAGGAACCGTAAATCAATTTTATAGGCAAACCATAATAATGATATAAAATAAAACCATTAACTGAAGTAAAAAACGCTGCAAATTATTTCACAATGGTTTATTATTTCCAAACAATTATACATCTAAAGTAACATTACCTTCCGAGTTACAAAGAAAAATAAACAAAAGGTGAAACCAAAAATATATAAAAACCGCGATATCTCTACTAATAGTACTTTGATTTCGATGAAACTTCCTTAATTTTTTAGGAAATTTAAATACCATCTTATCACAATATCAACAAAAAAGTATAAACTTTTCGAGTTATTCGGAATTTAATTTTACCATCCCTCGTAACTTTTTTTCCAGCTTCTTTTCGTCGAAGTATGCTATATAGATACATTCAAAGGGCGTCGAGAAAATAACCTTAGCGAAGTTTCATTGAAATCTGTACATTCGTTTAGGAGCTACAGTCTATAGCAACGCAGATTTTTCGGCCGCCATTTTGAAAGTAAAAGGCAAATAGTAATGTCGATGAAGGAGAATCATCCTCGGGTGACCTCTGATTTTATATCAAAATTTGAAAAAAAAAAAATGGTCCAGTAGTTTCGGAGAAAATGCGCTGACGGCGGACGGTGGACGGCTGACGGACAAAAAAATTTTTATTCGTTTTTCGAATTCTACGCGTCCTGAAACGAGAAACCTCAAATTTTGAGAGGGGGTTAAGTTTATGAATTTTTTGGTCTATCACAATGGTTGATTATTGAAAATAATAAACCAAAAATATTAAAAAATCGCGATATCTCTACTAATAGTGCTTTGATTTCGATGAAATTTCCTTCATTTTGTAGGAAATTTAAATACCTTTGAAACATCTTATAACATTTTTTCGACCGCCATTTTGAAAGTAAAAGGCGGATGGTAATGTCGACGAAGGAGGATCATCCTCGGATGACCTCTGGTTATATATCCAAATTTGAAAAAAATCGGTGCAGCAGTTTCGGAGAAAATGCGCGGACGTCGGACGGCGGATGGACATAAAAATTTTTATTCGTTTTTTGAATTCTACGCATCCTGAAACATGAAACCTCAAATTTTGAGAGGGGGTTAAGTTTTTGAATTTTTTGGTCGATCACAATGGTTGATTATTGAAAATAATAAACCAAAAATAATAAATTAAGCTTTACGATAGTTTATAATAATTTTTCTGAAAACATGGTTTCTTTTACGCGAAAGAATATCAAATTACATAACTTTTTTATACAACTTGAGGTAATTTCAATTTTTTTTAATGATCCTGAACTTAAGGCCCATTAACCGAGGATTTTTTTTTCTGAAAGTGAAGTATCTGTACTGTAGTGATGAAAAAAATCGCAAATAATTTGATTTTGCTTCCTTACTACCGAAGATAGGGAAGCATTTTCGTGCTTTTCCACTTGCATTTTAATGTTCAGACATCAAGGATCAAATTTGGTTGGGTGTCTGTCTGTCTGTAGTCAAATCGAAGTAACGGGCATATCGCCTACTACTGTTTATCCGATTTTCATGAAATTTTTAGGGTTCGTGCGGCTTGATGTCTAGATGGTCCTATATCAATTTTATTCCATTTTAACCAGCGCTTCCGCTTATGCAAGCGCAAATGCATGTTCGTAGATATGCCAATATTTCAGAAACGGCTCGTTCGATTTGGCTCAAAATTGGATAAAAAGTAGGTATTTGTGAAAAAATGATGTAAGGTCAATTTGAGTGAATTTTGTTCATTGCTTTCTCATATATATGAGCAATTTTGTTTACCTTGATACGACTATATCTCTAAAACAGCAAGTTTGATTTGGCTCAAACATGGAGGGAATTTAGGGATTGGTGAACGTAACATGCAATAGGCATTAATTTTATCAAATTCTATCTAATACAAAAAAATAAAAAATCCGCTTTCAGACCTTGAAATTTGTTATTTAATATGACTGTAGTTTAAAAATGTCACATTCAATTTGACTCTAACTTGGAGAACAGTATAGAAATTACTTGGTATCAATTTCATTGAATCCCATTTAATAATTAAAATTAATATAAATAATTGTTAACAATATAATGGCTGCGAAATGTGGAAGGCACTGATCATATGGAGTGGGAGTCACGTTATTATATTATTACGGAGTCATAAAATTTTAGCTTTTATTCAAAAATTTTATTTATACTATATTGTTGGGTCGATTCCAAACGTTAAATAGATTTCGTTTAATTTTCAGTAAATTTAAAGTAATTTTTAGTCTGAATTTGTAAAAAAATTCTGACTGAGGAAAAGTTTTGGTCTCGTTAACTCCGAACAAACAAAAAGTTTAATTTTTCTTATGGATTTTTTGTTCCATCCATTTTACGAGTGAAAAAAAATATCTATTAAGTATATATCACTACTGTTCGTAGATAAAAGTTTACAATTTCTATTCTATTTTTGACATTATGTAGTCAGCAATTGATATAAGTAGTATAATAAATAGCAGAGGGTAATAAAATATAAAATTATACTAAAAAATCAAAGAAATAATTAGTTTTTATGCTCTCTTGAAAACACTCAATTTTTATACACATCATTTGCACTAACAGTAGCTAGATACATATTCAGTATGCATTGGAATTTTTTATTTATTTACGAATTATCAAATAATAAAATGCAATCTGCAAATGCGGAACTTTTTCGCATTTTAGTATTTGCTGATAAAAAAACCTCGTGGATATCAAGCCCGTATAAGTTGCAGAATTACTGAATGTCCGAAAACCGAGCGGCTTTCAGTGATTTTATTCTCATAAGAAAATTTGTAGACCTTTAAATATAGGATTTTTTAGCAAATGAAAACGACGAGGAAGCTATACTGACCTTACTTGGCAGACTTTTTTTTTAAAAGGTGATAGCTGAGTTGCGCCGTTCAATAATTCTCTTTAGATGGTTTTATCTGATTTCATTTGAATTAAAGTTTGTCTAGTTTACCGTGGAGGAATTGTTAATTATTTAAATTGGTACTTGTGAACAGTCTGGTCCCCATGGTCTGCTATCTGCCAATGTATATAAGCTGAACACTGATAATTCTGATAAGGCACTGATAATTCATATCTTCGTATGAAATTAAAAAACAAATGTAATAATAACAAAACACTTTTATTTTACAACATATAAATGAAATTGACAAAAACAAATGTCATATTTATCTAAGTTTCATACTTATATTGGTATGTAAGCATGTGAATACTTTATTTTGGAAGACAAAATAGCTTGATGCTATTTAAAATAGCGAGGAACGGGTCCTTCTTCGCTGTTAGCCGCCGTCACAAAAATTCACATAAATATGAATCGAGGTGTTGCCTCGCACTTCCTTGATGTTTCTTATTTCACCACTTAGTTGAGCTCCATAAACGTTATATATGTTCAGTATGTACTCCAGTTGATGTATCAACAAAGTTATACCGATGATTCACCTGCAAATGATAATAGTTTGCTTCATTCAGTTGTTGGGTGTTGTATCCTTTCCAACAGTCAGAATAAATGGTGCTTCTCTCTTCTACGTTATTTTTAATACATTCTACTAAAGTTCTTGCCTTTCTGTTCTTTATTTTTACGATGAAACACTCGTCTGTTTCTCAACAAACTCCGTCAAACATCTGTTGTTCAGGGAGAACTCTCCCCACATTTTTTTCTTTTAGAAAAAGGACTCGTCTACTTCAATGACTTTCCCAGATCCTCCAATTTTCTTATTTGACCTTTATAACATGTTATGGGCACCATCCTCCCTTAAAAATTTGTTCCACATTTTGACAAATCTGTTCGATAGTTTCAGCTGCTCATTGCCCCACTGTATTGTTGTGAAATTATGAGACCATCCATAAATTAATTTTAAAGCGGTTGAAAAGGTAATCTTCGACCCCGATAACCATGTTCCTTTACTTACAGATACGTTTTTCTTACAAGCGAGGACATAAAAGGCAGGTTATGTGACGTGTTATAACATAAGATAAGAGGGAGGTTTACAGAAGACAAGACCGATCACAAGCACCCTTAAAAATTAAATATTTTTGTAGTTATCATTTTCTATCCAACAAAAAACATGACTCACTTAAAAAACCAAAAATCCTGGATTTCCGACTTACTTGTTGGAAATTCAGTCATTGTTTATTTAAACTGTTTTGAAGATCTTTATGTCTACTATCATCCCTATAAATAATTCCTTCTCCTTACGGGACATCCTGTGTAATGATCAATATCGAGATGCCTCATGAAAATTCTGTTACCTAATGCATCCAACGTTGTCTTGCCCAAAAACTCATTCACTGTCCTTCCTATATTTGCTGTTTATTGTATTATATATTTCAGAGCACGATTTTTAAAGCCAATACTCTTCAGAATTTCAAAATCATAACAAGAATGGCCGCTGGAGGGCCGGAGAAAGTCTGTGTGGAACCTTGTACTGGTGATACTGGCACTTGCACTGATAAGATTAAACAGATCCAATCTCGATTCCAGGTAAACACAAATAACTTCCATAATAGTATAAACTCCATAAACCTGGAACATCGCGCATCCAGGCTTCAGAACGGCCAGATTTGTGGCAATCTTTTTTCACAGATATATTTCGACACTTTAGCAATCAATCAACCTCGTAGTGATTTAACTTTTATTTCACAGATTAAATAATATAGCTCCAAAAGGACATGTTGCCCAAACAATGACTAAATTCTGAATAACAAAAATAAAATTGGTATAGAAAGAACTTTGGACCTTCACCAGATTTCTTGTTTAAATGTTGAAATACTTTCAATATAAAAAATCTTGTAGTCAAGTTTAGTGCAAATATTCATAACATCAAATAATTAAGAACTTAGATGAATTTTCAAGAACTAACTTATTTAGTAATAGCTGAATGTTGTAGTAGTTGTGTTCTGCTTATGTCTCTATCTGCTCCCTTCCAACCTTGAGATTATGCAAGAAATCACCTGTAGTAAAAGGGAAGGTTCCCTAATTAGTAATAAAAGCCCTTTAATTGAGAAGTTTTCTATCACAATTCATCGCTATGTTCTTCTTTTAAGTAGCGTATTTCTTATAAATGTTCTCTTTTTCTGCCTGCACCTTAAAGTTTAGAACTTTATTCGTTTCAAACCTGATCGTAAGACCCACTAAAAGTTCCGCATTTTCTGTTGCCTGAAATTCGCAGAGCATTCTGCACCTAGACAATAAACTTAAAAGAAACATCTAAAGCTGTCCATTTATAGGAGTTTGGATAGCTGTTTCTTTATATCATTGTGCCAGCATATTATTCGTACATTTGCCCAATAGATGAGCTAGGGTTTCTGACTCAGCCACGCTTGCAGCAGAGTGTGTATAATATCTCCATTGGTCTGGGAGTTTGGTTGATGTTCAATGTCAAAGGTTTTTTTTCTTTTTCATCCTATCCTTTTAGGGACCAGGATTTTCCCGGGCCAGAGATGGGCAAATGCTACACTGAGTACAGAATACCAAAGGATTAACTGAAGTAGTGATTGGATTCCCCATAGCGATTCGATTTGAGTAAAATACTTAGTACTCCATATTCCGATTAGCATTTGCACATCTCTGGGTGAGGGCAGCGGATTGAAGTCAAAGTTAAAAGCAACCGCCGGCCCAGCAGTGCACATGCGTTAGCACGCTGGGCAACCACCCTTCCCCCCTCTCTGTCCCAGTATTAGTCCATTCTTAGCCTGGGAGGACTTTTCTATCGTAAATCAATTTATTTATTAAGAGTTGGATTTATAATGGGCACACCAATTCCCTGTCACTTACATTTACTAGATTCATCAAAGGCCTTTTTCCTCAGAGACTGCCAAACTTTTTCAACTGATAGTGAGGCCTCAGTATTATTAACTTTGAAGCCTAAGATCAGCACACCTTTGAACTTCATACGGAAATAAAACATTGCCTAAAAACAGGGCATTTGGTAAATTAGTTAATTTCTGGGAAATAAAATAGACCAGTGCTGAAGAGGAGCCTCCCATTGACAACATGAAATACCCAGGTGCCTGTATTGCTGCAATGCATACATCATAACCTGCACATGTTGACCAGTAAACCTATCATCCCCTTCACACTATGAAAGACATCCATAATAAACAAAAGGCTTCCATAAGTACTGGGTGCTTAATATAACTGGAGGTCCATTTTCATAAATTCTTGATATAGGATATTTATGAAATACTTGATATATTCATGCGTTAGTATTATTCAATATTTAATTGCACAAATTTCAGCAATATAAAACATAAAATTTGTAAATATGCCTTAAACAAATAAAAATAGCCACAATGAAATACAAATGAATATAGTGAGTGGCCTTCTTTATCAGTGGCACTTTTGTCAGACTAAAAATATTTCATGGCACTTAATTATTTATTATAATTGGAATACAGTCTTAAAGGACGTAGTGACAAAAACATTACAAATATAAAACGGCTGTAAAACACATACAATAATTAATGATTTCAAATAATATTTTGTACTGTATGTGATTTCACTTCCCTTAGTTTGAAAAAATATATTTCTGTTAAAAGAAAAATGATAAATGAAAGTTGTGTGATGCACCCATTTTTTTTATCAATATTCTTCTATTAGATATCCCACAAAATAATTAGAATTTGGTCAAATTCTCACTTCTCGTAGTTCAAATTATTTTCTAAAGCTGTGTGTTTGTTTAGATGGATTCTATCCATCACTTCAATCCCAAAAATTGTGTAGATACTGCTCTCTTTGTTGCCTATTAGGTTCAAATGCATCAAAACAAATTTTGATCTTTGGAAATACATTGGTAAGGTAGCAGTGTCTACACAGAAGTCAACAACAAGGACACAAAGGAAGTGCTCTTTGCCCAGCTAAATGTTGAGGCAAGAGACTGGAGTTAGTAAAAAATAGGAGAGCCACAAGACAGGCAGAGGTAAACAGCAAAGATTGTTTATTTAATGATTACTAATTATGATTAATTTTACTGTTTTTTATTTTATAATGTAAAGTTGTTATTGATATATATTATACATTCTAGAAGGATGAAGCATGCCCAATATGGTTGAGGTCAACAGCAGATAAGCTTGTGTACCTCACAACAGTAGGACTGGCCTTAGCTGGAGTTGGTTTAAGTTTCTACAATATCCTTTTGAGAATCTGAAACCCTTCTGATATGAATGTTTATGGTGTGATATGAAAAGATTTTATACCAGGATAAATTTATATCAATGTTCCATCAATTAAATGACAGAAAAATAAATCAATGTGCCAGCAATAAATTTTTTTTATAAATTAGATTATCTCTTGTTTATACTTGTAAATACCCTGACAGTTAATTTTGAGAGTAATTTTCTTAAAAAAATGTATATTTAATTTAGACAATGTATCTTAAACCACCAGGTGAAAAAAACAATATATATAAGCCTTCATTAAGGAGACATTGGAAATATTAACTAAAAAACATTAAAATATAAATACAAAACATCAATGTATTAATTTTAATTATTGTTTCATTCAATATAAATTTATATACAAAAAAAAAATAGAATAAATTTAACTGATAAAGCTATTATTGTTAGTTGGAGGGAGCTGGAAGGAGATGTTTATGAACCATATGCTCCTTATTGATAAGATGAGTGGTGTGGTTGAGAAGTCGCATGAGATCAGTGAGGTTGTGAGACCAATCATTAAGAACTTCATTGGGTTGTTGAGGACTGGTAAAATTAATAACACCAGCTGGTCTGTCAGTCTTGGCTGTAACACTCTTGTTCACAACCATCTCACTCAAGGTATCCTCTGTTTCCTATGGGATATCAATATGTATATAAAAACATGAGCGTGTGTGTGTATATATATATATATATATATATATATATATATATATATATATATATAAAAGAAAAAAAACAACTTATAACAAATTGAAAAATATAGTACAATAAATAAAAATATTAAGAACAATAACAATTGTAAAAATTCTTAACCATTGTTTAATTTACAATATAAGGATTTAATAGGTCTATTTTAAAACTAATACATTTCAAAATAATAAGGAAAACATTGAATTTCAATGCAAAATAAGGTAGAGTTCCTCGCCTAATTTTTAATTAGAAACTATGAGAAATTAAAAGAAATAATGATAGCTAGTTACCTGTTTGAATAATTCGCATAGCATATTGATCAGTGAGGAAATGGTAATATAATATGGAAATAAGTAAATATAATAAATTATGATACGGAACATCTTTTTCTCTGACAGCTACAATGGTTTATTACAAAAAATGATAAACAATAGCATGTGTACAAATTCAAATAGTTTGCATCTTTACAAATTTGTAACTTTGGATTCCAATGGTTCTTTTTTTGTGGGGAATTCAGAAATTTAATAATGCGTGAGTGGACACACCTGAGATAGGTCCGAATTATTTTTGGAAATATATCAAATCAATGGCCATGATTTCGGATTAAAGTCCATATAAATGTAGGTCCAATTTAGATTTTTTTTTTTTTCGTTTTGAAGGGACTTCAAAACCTTTGAAACTATTATGGCTTTAACAATAAATTATATATTTTTTCCAGCTATTTTCTTTATAACTTTCTTTCTCGGTTTTTCTGGAGGGTGTGCTTAATTTTCAGCACTGAAAAAGACAATCTTCAAAATGATGACTAAATTGGATACAATGAAGTTTTATGGAAGAAATGGTAAGGTGAAAAAAACACTTAAGAGAAATAATATTTAAAGATAAGTGATTCTGAACTTCAGTTTTGAGTTGAAAACACTAGTTTAACTAATTTTTTAAATAATCAGAAACTATACATCTCCTGTAATATTTCAGTTGCCAATTAAAATGATAATCAAATTGTCTAACAGAGTTACTCTAACTTACAGCATCAATAACAGTCAATATAAATGAGGACACCACAACCAGTAAAAATAATAATTCATGACAGATTAACTTGCCACAGCATATTCATATATTATTAAGGGAAAATACAGAGCAAGGTTGAGTGACACAGGACTAGATATCCAGCAGATAAAACCTGACACCTAATTGACTAACAAACTAAAAGCAGAAATGAGTTAATTCAAAATTTACTTGGTTTTATTAAAAATATTACAACTACTGACAAATCAGTATGGACGACTAAAAATCTTTAAAAGTTTAAAGATTATAATTATCTACTTAATCTGAAGTTCACATTCTGATATTCTTAATCCAATTCACCTAGAATGCATTGATGGAGAATCGCATTATTTCTAGTACAAATGACCTTTCCACCTGAAGTATTTAATCATTTAGAAATATGCAACATCATTCAGAGATAACCTTCCCATAAAGCTCCTGGACAAGACCTAATTACATTCCATATATTAAAACTTCTTCATTGAAAAACTATTCCATTCCTTACTTACATATACAATGCTATACTTGGAACCACATATTCCTACCTCAATGCACTGATACTTCAAAGTAAATCAAAATAGTACCAATTCATCCCTCTTTTCTCAGCCTGCAGGTATTCCTCAAGATAGTCTCGATCTTTTTCTTTACACATTTTATACAGGTGTCATCCCAACCAAATATACTATGACACATGTCCTATCAGTTGTTAATGACCTATCAACTGCATCTTAAACTGTTTAATCACACATCACAAACAAGAAGAATGGTGTTAAAACTAGAGAATGAAAGTAAACTCCATCAAATTATCTTTACCCTTCATCCTAAAACTACGACTTTCTTTCCTATAGTTTCCTTTATTAGTACTCCACTTATTCCTTTTGAACAGATTCGATACCTAGGACTCCACCTGGACAAATATCTTAACTTGGAATTCACATGAAAGAATGCAACAACAAGAACCTCCTCAACATTTCCAGCTATTTCAGTATATATTTGACATAAGTTCTAAAATTCCAATTAATTATAAAAGCTCATTTAAATGATTATAATAAGGCCTCTTTGCACAGAGTTAAGCTTGAGGGCTTCGCTAATCCATCAAATTCCTATCTTATCACTAACAAAACCATCCATGACCATTAATGTCCCTATATGTGTCAATTTGATCCAATCAAGAAACTTATCTTTTTTTTTTAGTTGCTTGGCAATAATAACTTCCAATTATTAACAATTAGAGTATATTTTTAACGTTACATGTTAACAGTCTAGTTTACGTTTCGGGACCTTTTATTCCCATCTTCAGAACTGCAATTCCAATACTCTTGTGGACACAAGGCTAAAAAATTTTTAAGTTACAATATTGTGCTTGTTACATTACATATTTGTATTATGTTTGTTACAATAAATTTGTAAGTACCTTAATTCTAATAATAATAATAATGTGCTCCATCATCAATTTTCTAATTTATGTTCTAAAATTTATCATCTAGAGCAACATTCTCCTTTTGACCAATAATTGGTTTTCTGCCATAGTAAAAATTTGACCTTTGGATCTAAATGTTTTATCTGACTATTTTGATTGTTGTTGTTAGTGTTTATTTTATGTGTCTGTGATTTCACTTCTATTAAATTTTAATTTTGTTCAATATGTCTGTATAATTAATGGGTTCCTAAATGTTTAGTGTCTGTTTTGTAGTTGACTGTTGTTCTGTTGTTTTTTGTAATGTGTATTGCTTCAAGTAATTTTCTGTTGGTGTTCTTTGGTTCTGTGCCTATTATCTGTGGTTTGTTAAAGTTAAATTTATGCTGTAGTTTTATGCTGTGATGTGCTAAGGCTGTTGTGTTTATGTTTTTTGGATTTTTACAGTTGGTGATGTGTTGTGCGATTCTAGTTCCTAATTGTTTGGATGTTTCACCAATGTAGATTTTGGGGCAGTTTTGACAGTTTAATTTATATATTGCATTTTTCTTGTTTATTGGTTCTATTTTATCTTTTGTGTTGGTGATGTGCCTGCTTAGTTTCTTGTTATTGTATTGTCCGAATTTAATTTTGTATAAAAATTATTGACGACAACTGGGACAGTGTAAAAAGTGAAACCAAAAATCAAAGACAAAAGAGTATTTATCGAGGGAATAAATCTCAGTACAAGAAATAATTATTTCAAATACAACAATGAATTCTATAAACAACTATGGGGAGTCGGGATGGGAAGTACTCTATCAACGAATTTAAGTGGCATATATTTAAACAAACTAATCACAACACAACTAACTAACTTAGAACAAAAACCACTATTAATTAAGAAATACATAGATGACTTATTACTCATAATAAAAAAAGATTCGGAAAATGAAATAATGAAAATCTTCAACCAGTACAACAAAAGGATCAAATTTACAATAGAAAAAGCCACAAACAATAGACTCAGATTTTTTGATATGGACATAATTATGGACAAAGGACAGATATTTACTAAATGGACAAAAAAAGAGAGTACCAGCAACAGAATTCTTAACTTTAGCTCAAACCACCCCAAACATCAAATAGTTAACACAGCCAGGAACCTAATCCACAAATCAATAGAACTCACTGACAAACCTTACATTCCACAAGTAAAAACAGAAATATACAAAATACTTATCGAGAAATTTTACCCCATAAACTTAATCAACAAACTTTGGTACAGTCGATTACATGCAACACTAAACAATAACAAAATTAGAGCCAAAAAACAAACAATACAAAAAACACCAGAAGAAAACACTACAATAAAGAAACCTACACAACAATTCATCACCCAATTTTTTGAAAAAACAAATCCAACAAACGAAAACAATCAGGATAACATGGCACAAACAAATGGACTTCATGGAAAGAATGGACTTCAACTACCACTACAAAATGACATACATACCTGGACTCACTAACAAAATTAAAAACGTGTTCAAAGATTATGACTTGACAGAAATTAAATTCGGACAATACAATAACAAGAAACTAAGCAGGCACATCACCAACACAAAAGATAAAATAGAACCAATAAACAAGAAAAATGCAATATATAAATTAAACTGTCAAAACTGCCCCAAAATCTACATTGGTGAAACATCCAAACAATTAGGAACTAGAATCGCACAACACATCACCAACTGTAAAAATCCAAAAAACATAAACACAACAGCCTTAGCACATCACAGCATAAAACTACAGCATAAATTTAACTTTAACAAACCACAGATAATAGGCACAGAACCAAAGAACACCAACAGAAAATTACTTGAAGCAATACACATTACAAAAAACAACAGAACAACAGTCAACTACAAAACAGACACTAAACATTTAGGAACCCATTAATTATACAGACATATTGAACAAAATTAAAATTTAATAGAAGTGAAATCACAGACACATAAAATAAACACTAACAACAACAATCAAAATAGTCAGATAAAACATTTAGATCCAAAGGTCAAATTTTCACTATGGCAGAAACCCAATTATTGGTCAAAAGGAGAATGTTGCTCTAGATGATAAATTTTAGAACATAAATTAGAAAATTGATGATGGAGCACATTATTATTATTATTAGAATTAAGGTACTTACAAATTTATTGTAACAAACATAATACAAATATGTAATGTAACAAGCACAATATTGTAACTTAAAAATTTTTTAGCCTTGCGTCCACAAGAGTATTGGAATTGCAGTTCTGAAGATGGGAATAAAAGGTCCCGAAACGTAAACTAGACTGTTAACATGTAACGTTAAAAATATACTCTAATTGTTAATAATTGGAAGTTATTATTGCCAAGCAACTAAATTAAATTGACAACTTCCCAGGAAAAAAAGAAAAAAGAAGATACTTATCCTTTCATAATTTATTTCAGAACCATCCGAAACCCACCAGTTTCTTACTTTGCTTCCACTCCGATGCTTGATAATCATCCAAGATGTCTGAAAAGATGGCCTCAGAACCTCCCAATGTAGAACTTTTATTAGTTTTTCTAGAAGTGTTGTGGTGTGATAACATAATTCTCTGTTTACATTCAATAATAGTATTTTTTATTTTAATCCAATAGTAAATTTCATGGATAAAACAACACTAAATGCAAATCTGTAGAAAAATAATTATCCTAAGACAAGAGTAATTTCAGAAGAGTAAATATGTGAATACAAAAAAAGGACAAAACTAAATGCAAATACTGGGAAAAGCTAGTTTTAAACACAGTACTGCCTCTATAACCTAGCCGTTTGATGTAGTAGCAAATCCAGTGGCAAACTAATTAAAACCGCAATTTAATAAGTCATTAGATATGTTAAACAAAAAATGTTTAACTGGCCAAGACAATTCTTTTAAAATATTAACTGAATGACATAATGATATCAATTAACTGTTTTTACCTCTACGGACATATCAAGAAGTTCTGCCATTCTCTTCAAAGTTATCCGTGTATAGTACTTGGCCATCACCCGTATGTTCTAAAAATAAATTTATAAAAATTATTTTTTTAAAATAAATCTTATGATGAGAACAGTAAACAGAAATAATCATTTTGTTCCCAACTGGGAGGTACTTTTATAAATTTACCAATAGTTTTTAATCACTGATTCTTGAAAAAAAAAATAGTAAAAATAACTTACATGCTCAACAACTCTGGTTCTTAAATGACGCCATCTTTTTTCACCATCAGCATTTCCTGGAGTAAATACAGATGTAGGAGGCAGCTCTGGATTACCTCTTTTCAAAACATTTTCATAGACATCACAAAGACCAGACCATTTTATAAGCTCCGGGTTGATAAATAATCGCAACAACTCTCTACATAGAAAATTGATATTATAATAATAATAATAATAATAAGGCTTAGCGAACCCGAAGGTTCGATGCCGACACCACCAATCGCTTGTTACACACCTCCCTCCACCGTTCGCCGTCCAAACCCAGTCCCTTCAGATCGGCTTTAATGCAATCTTCCCACCTTCGCTTCGGTCTTCCCCTCGAACGCTTACCATTCGGCACAGCAAATATTAACCTTTTAGGAATTCTCTCGTTACTAAGCCCAACAACTTTACAAGCCCATTTGATTCGCCGCGATGAAATTACCTCAACTATATTAACCGGATACATCTCACGCAATTCGGCGTTGTGTAACCGTCTGAACTCTCCGGTTAACTCATCCTTCTTCGGTCCGAATATTCTACGCAATACTTTATTTTCAAAAACCTTAAGACGCTGCTCATCCCTTAATGTAAGCGGCCAAGTTTCGCATCCATAAAGAACTGTAGGCAAGATAATTGTTTTATAGATTCTAATTTTTAAGTTTCGGGACAAGAGGCGCGAACTAAGTAGTTTTGTCACAGAAAAATAACAAGCATTCCCCGCCTTCAGTCTAACCTTAATCTCTTCTTCAATTTCGTTTTTTCTAGTTATCGTAGAACCTAGATACTTAAATTTATCTACCTGTTCAAACATATTACCATCTATATCGATATCACCAGTAGTATCGCCATTTTTGCAGCTAACCATATATTTTGTTTTATCCACGTTTATTTCGAGTCCTAGTTCTTTACCCGCTTTCATTAACGTTGTCGTATTTAGTTTTATAGTTTCAACGTCTTCGCTTAACAGTACCAGATCATCAGCATAGCCCAGCACGGATGTTGTCCCGCCCAGATCCAACCCTTTCTCGGTTCGCATTACTTCCCTAATGGCATGTTCTAATGCCAAATTGAACAGGACAGGCGAAAGAGAATCCCCCTGTTTTAAGCCCGAACGTACCTCAAATTTTTCGGACAAATTACTACCGATTCTAACTTTATTGAGTGTCTCCGTCAAGCACATCCTGACTAGATTTACTAGTTTTTTTGGAATCCCCTGCTCGATTAGAATATTATACAGTTTCTGGCGGTCAATAGAATCGTAAGCCTTTTTAAAATCTATATACAGCTGGTGAACAATACCGTTATACTCCAATTTTTTCTCTAATATTTGCCGTAAAGAAAATATTTGATCAATAGTCGAACGATTCCGTCTAAATCCGCATTGGTAGTCTCCGATAATTTCCTCGGCGTATTCCGTGATTCGACTGGTTAAGATTAAAGTGAATATTTTATAACATACCGGAAGCAGTGAAATTCCTCGATAGTTATTACAATCCGTCCTCGGACCCTTTTTGTGAATCGGAATAAGAATAGATTCTTTCCATTCTTCAGGTAATTTCTCGTTCACCCAGATTTTTTTAACCAACCGATGTATTTTAGAAACTCCAGCTTCTCCGCATGCCTTAATTAGTTCAGTAGGAATATTATCGATTCCCGCTGCTTTATATGATTTTAATTTTCCGATAGCTACTTCAACTTCCTCTTTACTTGGTCCTTCTATTAATGGTTCAGCACTCTGGTACTCAGAAGGAGGACACAGATCATAATTTACCGTATTTAAAATATTGTCAAAGTGGTCCTTAAACTTATTCAATATGTCAACCGGATCGGTCAGAATATTGTTATTATCATCCCTAATTCCAGACGTTACGGGCCCTACATATTTACGTGATCTGTTTATACCTTTGTACATTTCTCTTACGTTATTTTCAATTCTATTAGTTTCTATTTCAATTATTTTATTTTTAAGATACTCCCTTTTTTTATTTTTGAGCAATTTTGTCGTTTCGTTCTTTGAGATTCGGAAGTATTCCAGATTGACTTCGCTAGGATTATTTAGAGCTTTTAATTTAGCGGCTTTTCTTTTTTCACACATGTTTAAGCAATCTTCATCAAACCACGGTTTGTTATTCTTATTTTCCTTTTTTCCTAGACACGAGTTACCAACCGCTTTAATATTATCTCTGATCTCTATCCATAACTTGTCAATATCCTCGTGGTCCTCGTCAGGAAGCTCTAAAGCTCTAAACCTATTCTTAACATCTAGCTCGAATTGGTTTCTAATTGATGGATTTTTTAATTTTTCCAAATTAAAATTCTCAAAATCGAAACGGTTTTCTTTTCTCTTTTTTATATTAAGTTTTTGTCGAAGTTTCGCGATTACTAATTCATGATCCGACCCACATTCTGCTCCGCGATAAGACCGTACATTAATTATACTGCTTTGCCAGCTGTGTTGTATCAAGACATGATCGATTTGATTTCGTGTTTGCGAATCCGGTGATGTCCAAGTATATTTATGAATATCCTTATGTTTAAACATCGTACTTTTAATTATCAGGTTTTTCGAGATGGCAAAGTTTATCAGACGGATCCCATTATCATTACTATATTCGTGCAAACTTTCTTTACCAATCGTCGGAATATAAACTTCTTCCCTTCCTACCTTTGCGTTCGCGTCACCTACAATTATTTTCATGTAGTTTCGTGGTAGTTTATCATAAACCCATTCGAGTTTATCGTAAAATTCACTTTTGAATTCATCGTCACTGTCTTCGGTCGGACAATGTATGTTTATTAATGCGATTTTAAACCAACGTCCCTGAAATGTAGCTACCGAAATTCTATCACTAAAGAATTGTACGTCCCTCAAAGCGGATAGTAATCTACGCCTAATTAGAAACCCGGTACCTAAACAATGATTCCCGCTTCCTCCGTACCAAATAGTGTACTTCCCTTCCCTCATCGAGCCCTCCCCTGGCCAGCGAACCTCTTGCAGAGCCACGACATCCAAATTGTACCCATTTACCTCATTCGCGACCGATTTTAGCCCCCCTGCTGTGTTTAAACTCCTTACGTTCCACGTACCAATATTTAAATCCCTATATTTCAACTTGCACCATGGATCCCCTAAAGCAGTCCCCACCCGGAGACCCGAACGGGGGACTAGTTTACCTCCGGATAATGAGCGTTTTACCTTAGGGAGATCCATGACTTTTTGTGGTGTTTGGTGAACTAAAGAAATGTGAGTAGGGCGTTCAATCCTACGTCACACCCTCCAGTAAGTCTGGTGGGCCCCTACCTCCAGCAAGTCTGGAGGTCCCCTCCCTCCAGCAAGTCTGGAGGGCCCCTCTCATTGTTGGTCAGCGAGTCCATCGGACCTAGCCGGGAGGAACTTCCAAGGAATTTCCACCGACCATCCCCACATCCGCCACCCGTGGGACGCTCCCCATACGCGGTAATGAGCCCGCGCGAGAAAATTGATATTAATCATCATAAACCAAATTATAAGAGTAGTAATTTTATGTAATTAACTTAATTTTGTGTGATTATTCTCAAACATTAACTCACACTAAACCATCTTTTTGTCTTTACCATGACAGCTTTCCAATATTTCAGTTTTTATTTAAAATTTTGGTTTTGTTTGCTGTTCATTTGATTTCCATTAAGTAGTCCAAAATTGGGGAGAACCAACAATATACCATTACTTACTCCAGAGGAGATAAAGGACAGACAATACAATCTGAATAACTTTGTCGTTGTTGTTTTCAAGCTTCTGTGTTTTTTTGAGGGGACATATTAACTTTTTCTTTAATTCTTTCTACACCTCACAGAGATTTGGACTTGTTGCTAATACAATCTTTTCCCAATAGGATGAACAAAATATAAGAAAGAAGATTTACATATGTGAAAGATAAAAAACTCAGATAAACTTAACTAGTTGTTAAAGATATAACAAGTAGCTATCTCTTCAGAAAGAAATATATAAATACCTTATTTATATTTCAATTCATATAATTTTAATTAAACCACCACCTACAACAATGTTCTGTGCTTCCCTCACCCCATTTTCAAGCCATACAGTTTGTTTTGGTTGTCTATTGCAGACAAAAATCTAATGATAGTGTCACTTCAACAAGATGGATAGACACAAGAAAACACTATCACACCATAGATGGAATTCCAAGAATGTTTGAGTATTGATGTGTTAACCAGTGAAACCTCCCTTTATTTAGATCATGATTTATGACTTCCAACAGATTCATTTCAGATTAAACCAGGGTTAAATAAATAAGCTTAAATTAGATTGTGGTTTTTAACTATCACTCCCATAAGGGAGTTTATAAAAAGGATAAACAAACAGATCTTTTCAGTTGAGTTGGTTCCTTACCAAAACCCCATGTAGCAGTATATGCCAGATAGGGGGGAGAGAGAAAGTTCTTTACCAGAATGCTCGGTCATCTGAATCATTTTCAGAATTTCATCTACAGTGTTATCATGGTGGAGTGACAATTATGAAGTATTACCAATCTAATTAATGTCTCCATTATTAGTCTTATAATTTATTTTAAATCATTGCATAAAATGATATGTTATTTGTTCATTTTTAGCAATTTATCCTAATCTAAATCTGAGATACCAATGATAATTTATACAACTTTATCAGCATTATTTAAAAGTATATATTTTTTGTCATTTACTTGTTTATAATAGAAAAACAATAACAACTAACCTTTTTCTTAAAACAGGAAACAAATTCTGAACTATGCTTTGATCTACATTTCATGGTATTAGATCAAAAATCATAACCAGATGGAGTTAGACCAAGATCAAATGATCACACTGTAAACGGAATGTAACATACAGCAGATTTTGTCCGAAAGATTATCACCGATCTTCATACTACTAATTACCTGTATATTTTAGGTTGCATTTGTATTTGTCGAATATTATTATTATTATTCACTCCTGGTAGGCAACTCGGGGAGCGGGGTAGCTCAGTGGGTTGGGCACTAACTTTCAGAGCTCAAAGTCCCGGGTTCAAATCCCGTTGATGGCAGATAAAATTAACAAAAAAACATGGTCTTTCACAAAATATCAAAAAAATAAAATAAAAATCTGGCAAAATGCTGTAGAGAGAAGCATGGTAAACGTCAAAAGAAAAAATGAAATAAAATGAATTGATATCCAGAAGAAAACAGGGCTCTGAAACTCTTCCATACTAATAAAAAAATCAAAATGAAAGTTGACAGAACATCTGTTAAAACTCTCTGATGACAGATGGTCATATATTGTAACGGAATGGACTCCATATGGCAACAATAGAAGAGAAACAAAAAGATGGAGTGACTCCTAGAAAAAATAGGAAGGCCCAAAATGGTGGAGGACAGCAAAAAACAAAAATTCATGGTGAGAGATATGGAAGCAAATAGCAAACCTCAATTCCCAGTAGCGTTGGTCACCTTGAGAAATGTAAAACCATTGCTCCTCTTAAAAAAAAAAAAAAAGAGGAAGGCTAGCCCAAAACATTTATTTTTGTAACAAACTTTTATTTTTCAATTAGTATGAAAATTTGTATTTAAGGTGTATTTTAGAGGTACGAAATACAAATCTCAACTTCATTTTTCCTTAAAAAAAATATTTGAACACACTTTACACCTAAGGTCAATACTAATTGCTTCAATATTTTACTTGTATTATTGCTGTATACCAAATATATATTTTTTTCTAAATTGGACAGGTATCAAAAGTAGGATCACATGCACGAAATCTTGTATTTTATCAAGACTCAATCCAAAAATAAGAATACAGCATGTAGAATACATATTACACTATGAAATATATATTTTTGGTATAAGCATTGATGATATTCGTTTTCTAAATAAACCTTAAATAAGAATTTTCGTAGGAATTGAAAAAAGTTTTTTTTTTTTTTACAAATGAAAAGTTCAAACAGTAAAAACTAACTTAATAATGTAACAACCAAAATTAATAAGTAAAATTATTAACATTAAAGAAAAATATTCAATAAAATGCATATTTTTTTTGTATCAAATTGTGTATAAATAATAATTTATTTGTTTGTAAATTTTGAAAAAGAAGAAATCTCAGTTTGAAAGAATAAAAGGAATGGAATATAACCAATCCTAACAGAAACATTAGTGTTACCACAAGATGATATTATCAAACACAATCGACTACTAATATTATTATTTTAAGTGTGACTGAAGTGATCTTGTGAATGTGCATCTGGATGTACACAATGGATTCATCATCCAAACGTGACACTAGCGAACCTAGTATCCATTTAAAATTAGAATATAGACTAATTATTTTTCAAACCAAAAATGTCTATATATTTTCATAATATGGATATTTTTACTTTGATTTTCTATTATGCCTTAAGGGAGAAAAAGCTAATATGCTGTTAATAAACCAATCAATAAAATAAATTCATAATTACAAACTTGTAAAGTGGGAGTAAATCTAAAAGAGTATCAGCAAGAACACGGTGAGTTAGATCAGCCTGTTCATTATCATAGGGAGCCAAAATTAGATATAATACAACATTCTGTAGATATTCCTGGCATGCTTTTTTGTCATCTTGGACGGAAGGTGTGCTAAGTATAGCTCTGTAATGTTTGCATGTAGAAAGATATAAACCTTCATGTTCATCCAATTCAATCATGAGCCTAAAACAAACAAAAAATTATTGGTGATATACAACATAAAGGATTATTCCACAAACTCACTAACTATATTTTTGATGTATTTAATCTTTTAAGTATATATTTAAGAATTTCTATCATATTAATGGATGAAGTTTGTTTAGAATACAAAGCCTATTATGTGCTAAAAATAGGTAGAATTAGTAAACAATAATGTGATTTCATGGAAGAAAACATCATCAAAGTACTTAGTGAGTTCATTTTCTAAAATTTAATGACTAATAATAATAATACTTAATGATTATATGCAAAAATCCGATGATATATTCGATGTTATATAATGAATGAAATGAAAAAATAATTTTATTCTGGGACTAAAGTCCCTTAAGAATAATAATAGCATGGTACAAAACATTGGTCCATTAGCCTGGTTTGACAAAACACAAAGAGGTCATTTGAATGTTAATTTCCATTGCTATCGCAATCATACCTACACAACAATAGTAAACACTTTAACACTAGTATATTTTATATGGTTTACATGTATATAAAGAAAAAGTAAACAAATAAATGAAATAAAATCAAATGAAACTTGTTGATTAATTGTTAGTGAGCAGTTATAATTACAGAATCCAATGAATATTACATAGGTATGGAAGCTTGAAAATGAAGTAGGTGGTGGAATAAGAGTTGTTTGAAGGAATTTAAGGATGAGGATTGCCATATGGTGATGGGTAAAGAATCCCAAAAGGAGTTAACACGAATGATGAAGGATTTAGTTTTATGAGAAGGAATATATAAATCAATAGGTTGAGATCTGGTATTAAGAGAGTGGATAGAGGAATATAGAGTGACTAGTTCCATGACATAGGGAGGACTTTTGGTTCATAGGACCTGGAAAAGGAAAACACCAAGATGGAATTGTTGCCGGGAAGTAGGATAAAACCACTTCAACTCGGTATACCAGTGGGAAACATGAGAATGCCAGGGAATTCAAAAGATGAATCTTATACAGTTCATACGTCTCTTCAATTTCACCTCCGGTATATATACATATATATATATTTTTTTTCGGTTGGCTCTACAGACCTTGTAGATCATTGGCCACCTGAACCAGTCTTCTCCACTTCTGTTTATCAAGATAGACCCAAGGGCTACTGCTATCCAGTTTCCGGATAGAAGCTCAGGTGTATCTTTGTATATCCTACCAATCCATCTGGTTTTTGGCATCCCACGTGGTCTCTTGCCTTCTACTCTGGAATTCATTGTGGTGTAAAGGCTACCTGATGGACTGCTTCTAACTAGGTGCCCACCCATATTAATCTCCATCACATTTCATGAGATATTGATTGACCTAAGGCTAAGGCGTAGGGAGGTGGCGACCCCATCGCCCGGTCATTGTACCGCAAATAGCCATTGGTCCTCCAGCTTGGAGGAACAGTACACTGACACCCATACAGCACACAATCTACAGCACACTATATACACTCACACACTACAGACAAAGGTGATCAACAGTACACACCCTAGTGTCAGCTCCTCTAGGTAGCTGCCCCAGAGGGGATGCAGGTCTGCAGGCACTAAGGTAGTATGCCCACCAGGAGACTAGGGCACGTAGCAGGGTCAATAGCCCCACAGCCCGAAAATTCAACCATCAAGAAACCCCAAGCAAAAGCCTTGGAAATTCATGAAGATTCAAGGAAAAGATCTGGCAAACATCATAGGTTTTGGATTGGATATTAAATATTCTTTCATTGTATAAACCCGGAGCACTTACTTACACTTGCTCTTGAACGAAATAGGTAAATACAAATTGGACATAATCGCCATCCAAGAGATCCGTTGGATAGGCCATGGCATGCTAGAGAAAAGAAACCACACGGTGTTCTACAGTTGCAACGATCGGGTACACACCTTTGGGACGGGATTCATCGAAAGGAAATCATTTAGAAGATTAGTTATCAGATTTAAGCCAGTAAGTCCAAGGATATCTGTGCTAAGGGTTCGTTGGAGGTTTTATAACTTTTAAATTCTTAGTGTACATGCACCAATTAAAGAAACTAATGATGAAGACAAGGGTGATTTCTATGACCTGCTCGACAATACTCTGGACTCCTTAACTCGCCACGATATGAAAATCATTACCGGAGACAATAATGCTAAAGTCGGTCGGGAGAATATCTATGTCCCAACCATCGGTAAATACAGTTAGCATGAAGAGAGCAATAACAACGGCCCGGCGACTAATCAACTTTGCTGCTTCCCAAAGCCTTAAAATTGTAAGCACAACGTTCCCACACAAAAACATCCACAAAGGTACCTAAACATAGCCTGATGGGCTCACAGTCAACCAGATTGATCACATCCTCGTAAGCAACAGGCACGTTAGTATCATCACTGATGTCAGAGGCGCTAACATTGATTCTGACTATTTCCTCAGTATCGCTCACGTTGCTTCAAGAATTACTGTTAACCCACCAAGAGTCCGGCCAAAAGCAAAAGAAGTTTAACACCAAAAAGCTTAATGACCCTCAGACTAGAGAGGCTTATGCCGCAGCACTGGACTCACAGTTAAGATACATGAAGGACAAAGAAGACAGTGTAGGCAGCATTTGGAGTAGATGTCGCAAATCTATAAAAACAAACTGCTGAAGCTATACATGGGGCATGCTGAAAAGGAAAACAGGAAAAGCTGGTTTGATGAAGACTGTCGAATAGCTACAGAAGTTAAAAATGTAGCATACCAGCTGATGATCAACAGGCGCACACTTGGTACAGTCGAAGACTATAGGAGCCCTTCTTAAGGATAGGACAGATCAGCCTTGTGTACCAGGCTTCTGGTATCCTTTCCTCCACCTATATTTTCTGGATTAGTACTAACAGCTGGTTGCAGAGGTGTTCTCCCCCATCCTTGAACAATTCTGATAGTAGGTTGTCCATCCCTAGAGCCTTTCTTCTTTTAAGCCAATAGATATTTTCAGATTCAGAATTTCAGGTTTTTCAGCCTCATGTGGGTCGATGTCCTCAATGTGGTCCATGTCTTCTTCGTTTGTGGAGTGCCCGTGATTGAGGAGCTGCTGAAAATATTCCTTCCAGATAATCCCAATGTTGGTCAATTGTGAAGCCTTCCGCATTCAAGGGTTCGAATTTATTTTTCAGCTCAATTTGGAATTCAGTCTATTATATAATTATTATAGGGTTTTTTCAAACTATAGACTTCGTACCTCATTCTTTCCCCTTGGTCTCCAATTTGGTGGATTTGCTTTAACCTTTGACAGAGTTTGATTCTAATCAGAGTATGGTCCGAATCACAGTCTGCTGATGATAGCTCCGTATGTCTTGTATGAAGCTTTGATGCCTCTTGTCCATTAGCACGTGCGTGGTCGATTTGGCTTTTTGCTCCTTGAGGACTTACCCTGCTGTACTTATGTATGTCCTTGTGCGGGAACATTGTACTGCTCACAACTAGACTTTTAGCTGTTGCCAGACTGATACATCTCACTCCATTATCACTGCTGGTTTCGTGAAGACTTTGGCCTCCGATGGTGGGCCTAAATTGGGTTTCTCGACCTATCTTGACATTGAAGTTCCATGACTAATTTTAGGCCATATTTTGAAGCCGAGTCTATAACTTTTTCTAACCAATAGTAGAAATCATCCTTCACCTGATCCTCTTTTTCTTCGGTTGGTGCATACACGTTCATAATTGTGATATTAAACTAACAATCTCTTATGCGCAGCACAGTTATGCTTTCATTAATTGGTGTGAAGTTTATTACTGACTTCCTCGCTCCAATATACAAAGCTGGGGTCATTGCCACGTTAAGATTTTCTGAGGCTATTTTTTGGTTTTGTAATATTATGTTTTTTATGGGATTGGTTTATCAGCCCTATGCCGAACCTCCAACTAGAAGAACCAAGAGCTATGTCAGACACAGGGGTTGCTTACTTCCCAGCTGTGTAAGATGTCTTCAGTAGGATTTATAAATAATTTTAGACAATTAAATCACTAAATACTTTGATGATTTTCTCTTCGGTGAAATCACAACATTGTGGACTAATTCTATATATTTTTGGCACATAATAAGCTTTGCATTCTTTTGGTGTGCTCATGAGTTTTAGCATCAACAAATATGATTGAAATTCTTAAGTATTTACTTAAAAGATTAAAGGCATCGAAAAAATAGTTAGTGAGTTTGTTTTAGATACAACATAACTAATGTGGCTGAGGATGGTATAATAGCCAAAATGTGCCAATTGTAATGAAAAATATAAAATAAAGAATGTGTTAAAAAATCAATTCAGCCTAAATGATTTTAATCTATAAAAACATTTTCACATTAAACTTAAAATACAGGAAAACTAAAAATAACATTCTTACTTATAAAATTTTAATTTTAAATCTTGGGTATCCGATTCTTCAAAAAATTTTGGATTTATTTTCTTTGCAATAATTTGAGTTCTGATATAATCCTTAATAGCTAAACATAACCTCATTTGTTCCAATATGAGTTCCACCTAAAATTTGAAAAAAATAAGGTGAAAGATAAACTTATATCAAGTTGACTCAACAGTTAAACAAATTCTTAATATTACAAATAGAAATATTTATTTTTTTCTAAAAACAATACAATTGTAATTATAAAATAACTCTAGAGTGAAATTAACGTAACAAACAGTTTTCTAAGATTTGTTTTTTTAACTAGATGCGTGAAAAAGCACTTTTTTGGTACAAGATAGGTCATTTAACATCACATATTCTGTATTAATTATAGTATTAAATCACCTGTGAGCAGTTATAGGGGAAAGCCACAATCAAATGGTCACTTATTTCAATTAATTGTTTTTTACACAACTGAGCAAAAAGCCAAGTAACGATTTTAAGTGAAAGGCTGGATCAATTTTTAAGATTGATGGCTTAAATTTTTCAGTGAGATCCCCCAAGATGGAATTCATTTTTTGCACCTCTAAAAACTCTTAAATAAAATTTTCGGTTCAATCGAAAAATATAAATTATTTGCTTAATATTCTGCCTACTATTAATAGATTCATCTATGATCATTGTTTTATAGTAGCAATTAGTGGAGTAAAATACATTTATATTTCGATTGCAATATTTAAATTTCCTTTTTTAAATTAAATGTCCTCAATATTTAAATATATTTAACAGTTGTAATATCCACTATAAATGTACAGGGATCTTACAAGAGCTTTTAATAGAAAACAGAATATTAAGGGAATAGTTAAAATTTTTCGGTTGCAACAAACATTTTTATTTAAGGGTATATAGTGGTGTGAAAAATGAATATCATCTCTATTTATCCCCAAGAAATATGTATCATGGTATGAGTATAATATGCACATTACATTAGCCCTGGAGCCAGGGCCCAAAAATCTACCTCAATGCAGGCGAAGTTTTGATTATAAATTACGAAAGTGTGTGTTATTCTGAGTAAAAAGAACCGTGTCTTCCGTTCCAGAGCCACTGCTTTAAAAAATGGTGGCTGATTTAAAAAATATTGGACCCGTAATTTGAAGATCGAAGCAGGAAATCCATTGCAAAAAATGTGAAAAAAGTTTTTATTTTGTTAACTTGTGTATATGGGGGAAGGGGGGGTTTAGACATGTAAAAAACAAAATTGCTAACGTGAGCCACCAATTGAAAATTTTTTACAGCCAAAAAGGCTATATATTTTTGTTTTTTCACCTATAACTCCTTAGTGATGCATCAAAGCGAAAAATGTACTCTTTAAAAAATTAAAGAATGTTAAATTGTGCGACGAACGAGTACATGAACTTTATAATTTGATTATGTGGTAAGGTATTTAATTATGTGGTAAGGTATTTAATTATGTGGTAAGGTGATTATGTAAAAATGTTCTGTATTTTGGTACTCGCTGATGATCAAAACTCGTGGATGTCTTCTGGCCCAATATTTTGTTCTAAAAGAAAAATTATGGAGCTTGAAATAAAGGTGATTGTGTAACCAATAAAATGGTGAGGAAGCTATACTGAGCATTATTCGGCAGATGTTTTTGCAATTTTACAGTTACGCTGGCGTTAATATTATTTATTAACCATTTTTAACAAAAATAGTTAAGTGTAAAAATGGATGCAATCATATTAAAAACTACTTAACAGTAACTTTGGAGTTCATTTTATTTCCTTTCCATTTTTTACTTTACCATTTTTGTTAAAATTTCTAAATTCAGAAAGCTGATCTCTTCACATATCTATTTATTTCTAAGTTATGCAATTCAATAATAGTCAGGTCACAACTAGAGCTTAGTAAATAGATAAGAAATAAAATTAATGGCAAAATTAGGGTCAAATTAAAAAAAAAATTTAGGTCCATTTTTTAATTTTTTTTTATTACTTGTTTTGTTACTGCTGTTAAATTAGGAAATGACCAAAGTCACTATAAAATGGAAAAAAAAAGAAGAATGTTAAAAAAATTAAATATAAAAACTACCTCCATATTCAATACCCCAAAAATCTCTTATACAAAAATATCCAAAAAAAAAAACTGAAAAGTTTCTCACTTGTCAGAGACAGTGAATTAGTCAGCATGTTTTCCTTTATCAACATAAAACCTTAATAACTTGCTCTTACCTAAATCAAATCCAGTTTGAATTTTGAACAACACTAGAAAGAAGACACATTTTCTCTCTTTCTATTGATAACAATTAAGTAAAAATGTGCTAGATTACAAGGCAATAAAAATATTTATACAATTATAATTATTTAAATATAGTATCTTACATCTCTAATTTAAATTGACTCAATAGATTAAGATTTATGTCAATTTGGTATTTTAACGTGCTTTTTATACCATAAAAATTTTAAGTTGATGGGTTAAGTGCCCTGGAAGCTATGAAAGAGTTTCATGAGTGTTTGAAAAAAAAATTATCAAAATCGTAAGGTCATTTTTTTGCATGATAACAGAAATTAAGATTTTTGTTGATGAAAAAATAATAATAGAAGAAACAAATTTTTAATAAGTTAGATATTTTTTATCTACGCCTAAGGTCCATTGGAACATACCTGTATGTAATGTATTTTGATGTAGAAATATTAAAAAAAAAAATAGAAATCGGTGATATCAAGGGAATGGATATAAACAGTCATTACTACCTTTTCACGTTTATTCATTGAACCATAAGTTTCAACTTGAAGCTCTTGCATTATATTAGCAGCTCCAGTGATATCACCTTCTAATTCCTTCATTTTCGCTAATTTATGAGTTAATCGTGCTCTCTCAACCTCAACATATATCTGAAAAATTAAATAAATTACAGCCAAAAACAAATTGTGGATGATAGATTTGAGCTTATATCACTTTAGTTAATAACTTCTACAATTTTAGTAGCTTAAAAATGTATGACTTTTTGGTAGGTGTTATGTAAGTTAATCATCAAAGCTGGAAAACACAAATATTTAAAAGATGTACTTATTTACCTTTCCTTCAGTTACATTTCTCAAGGTATCAATGAGCTTCAATTGTGAATCCTTGGTGGGCAATTTATCAACATAATCACAACACTCCTGAACCATATTGGCTACAGCTTGTTTTAATTGAGAACGTCTCTTAGACAAAAGAACTATATGTTCATTCAAGGCCATCCAATTCTTAGCTTCAAAACAAATTTGAACAATCGCGACCAAAACCCTACCAGTAGAAACCATATCTGCTCCCTAAAATTAAACATTATTTAATACTTTTTTATAAGTTCCATGCACATCAATCAATGTAACCAAACCTACAGTTCTAGTTTGTTTTTCAAGAGCCAGCAAAATGTCTAAAGCATCATGCAATTTTCCTTCTGCAGCCATTTTTTTACAATCAGGAATTTTCTCATCACAAGTTGCACTATAGTCTACTTCCATCTTAACAATTCGTCCTTCTGTTCCAAGATTAGAGTCGCCCATTTTTTACAACAGAAACAGTAGCTAAAATATTAAAATATAAAAGGTACAGTTTCAGGAATTGATTTTTTTTAAATACAGATGAATGAATAACAATCTATCTCAAGTTAAGAATTAGAAATTTCACAAAAATTATTTAGACAACAGCTTACAAATTTCTAATTAAAACTTAGAAATGAATTAGAATAAATTCAGCGTGATTAACTACTCACAACACTTTCGAGTAAAACCACAATAGTAATTAGAAACCTTCCAAACGTTTACCTATGATAATACTTAGTCACTATTCCCCTCCAATGTTGCCTTTAACGATACCTTGGTAATAATTAATTTATTCATACATAAATATAATGCCAAATAATAAAGAAAAAACCTGTGCAAAAGTGAAAAAAGAAAAACTACATGATTTAATATATTACTTGCTAAATAAATAAAGTCAATATTCTTGAAATGTTTCTTTTTTTTTTAATTTAAAATTTCCAAATAAAAAATTCGTTCGTTGTTTATTTTGTCAGATTATATTTGTACCTAATAAGGAGGAATAGGGAATAGGTTCTTGCGCCATCAACCTTGGGGGGGGGGGAGATTGGCACCTCTATATGAATCTATATAATTCAATATCAAACACGGGCGGATCTACGGGAGGGGGGGGGGCTTTCGGGCTGAAGCCCCCCCCCCAAAACGGAAAAATATAACCATGTTTTATGAGGAAAAAAATGTAAAAAATACCTCTTAAAGTATTATTGTTCGTGTAATTACATTTAAAAGTACTTAAGGAATAACTTAAACACCATCTCATATAGGTAGTTAGTTTCTTTCTGTTTTTCCAAAGGAATTATCGTTATTTTTATGAAAAAAAAGGTTTCGGGCTGAAGCCCCCCCCAAAATTAAATCCTGGATCCGCTAGTGATATCAAAAGAACGCATTTAATAGTACATACGGTGTTTACTGCGCATATTGTAATTCTTTAAGTATTTTTTTATATATAATAATATTTGTACCTATATACTACAATTTTAATTTAGTAAACTAACATAGTTATATTTGGAGAATAAATTTAAAAAATAATTCAAGAAAATATTAGTATTTCTTTTATTAATTTTACTCGTACTTGAAAAAGTAATTACAATCAATAATGAATTAAAGTCTTGACCATTAGTCCTGTTACCTTGTAAAAACTATGTTGCACCAAGTGGTGGTAAAATCGTCCAGTCAATGAGTGCTTAAAAATAGAGGGTATGGGGAGGGAAATGGTAGCAACAAAATTTTTGAGAGTCCAGTACAACTACTTTTACAGGTCTATTTCACATTCTTATAAAAATATAATGAGTATATATGAAAAAAAAAATACCAAAAGAATTACAATATGTGCGATAAGTACTCTACTAATTATGATGTGAAAATTTGATCAGTGACTTTTTATAACTTTCTTAGGGAGGTATCTCTATCTATTAAATCCAAAGTCCGCTTCATCAGAACTATATAAATCCAGGAATACACAGAAGAGGGTTTCATGGCGCAAGTTGCGCCATCAAAATTTTTGAGGGAAAATTTCGACGGAGTTATGAATTTTCGGACGAAGAGACAAGGGAGGAAACATGGAACATACCGTTGCAAGTGTAATTGTATATGATCTACGATTTTTTAAATTCTATCTTAGTTTGCTCTGTTTTTAAGAAAAGGTGAGAAATAAACTATTTTGGGAGGAAGGGAGAAGGGGGAAGGGGGAAGGGGGAAGGAGGAATAGGGAATAGGTTCTTGCGCCATCAACCTTTGTGGGAGAGGGGGGAGATTGGCACCTCTATATGAATCTATATAATTCAATATCAAAAGAACGCATTTAATAGTACATACGGTGTTTAATGCGCATATTGTAATTCTTTAAGTATTTTTTTATATATAATAATTATATTTCTAGAGGAGTGCGACAGGACGATAGTGATGAGCACCACGAATTTATTTATGTCCTTACTGTAAAGTAGTTTATTCGGTTGGCGAGTGAGGAGAACTCGTGATTTAAGTTCAATTATTGTTGGAGGACAGCGGTGGATACTGTCCACTTTAACATTGTTATAAGAAGAAGAGGACCAGCGCTGAGAAGACCGCTGGATTTCGGAACCTCAAGATAATTTACAGTACCAGCTGTAGAGCGAAAATAATATTTATTAAGTACAGTAATATGTTAGTATTCCAAACGTGGGTTGTTACGCGGTTATGCATTATTCAAGGTTTTATCTAGTAGCTTCTTTTGCCATAGGGAAAATACAGCTATTTGCTGAAGTGGGATGGTACGCATAACTGCGCAACAACCCACTTCAGTAAATAATTGAAGTTTACATATGGCAAAAGAAGCTGCAAGATAAAATAATACTAAACTAGTAGGCCCGTGCGAAAAATTCGCACAGCATGTTGTTATCAAATGCCAAATTAATAAGGAAAGAGAATAATGTAACGTATTAAAATATAAAGAAATCAATTTTATGTACTAAATATTGACATAGGTTTCAACTCGAAAATCCATTGGTGTCGGCCAGGGAGATGGAAATTCCGGTCCCGGCACTCTTTCGAGCTTTATATCTCCGGTTCCTGAGGGGTACAAATTCTAATTTTTGGTGTACGAATTAGTACAAATTAGGCACTAAATATTGGCATAAGTTTCAACTCGAAAATCCATTGTTGTCGGCCAGGGAGATGGAACTTCCGGTCCCGGCACTCTTTCGAGCTTTGTATCTCCGGTTCCTGAGAGGTACAAATTCTAATTTTTGGTGTACGAATTAGTACAAATCATGTACTAAATATTGGCATAGGTTTCAACTCGAAATTCCATAGGTGCCGGGCCACCATGTCCCTGGCCCGGCACTTTTACGAGCGTTATATCTCCGGTTCCTAAGGGGTACAAATTCTAATTTTTGAGGTACAAATTAGGTATTAAATATTGGCATAGGTTTCAACTCGAAATTCCATAGGTGCCGGGCCACCACGTCCCTGGCCCGGCACTTTTACGAGCGTTATATCTCCGGTTCCTAAGGGGTACAAATTCTAATTTTTGAGGTACAAATTAGGTATTAAATATTGGCATAGGTTTCAACTCGAAATTCCATAGGTGCCGGGCCACCACGTCCCTGGCCCGGCACTTTTACGAGCGTTATATCTCCGGTTCCTAAGGGGTACAAATTCTAATTTTTGAGGTAAAAATTAGGTATTAAATATTGGCATAGGTTTCAACTCGAAATTCCATAGGTGCCGGGCCACCATGTCCCTGGCCCGGCACTTTTACGAGCGTTATATCTCCGGTTCCTGAGGGGTACAAATTCTAATTTTTGAGGTACAAAATAGGTACTAAATATTGGCATAGGTTTGAACTCGAAATGCCATAGGTGCCGGGCCAGCGACATGCACCTCGTGAAGTTGTGTGGATGCAAACCCTGTGGCTTACGGTATCTCGAAAATATTACGTTTTTGGGCTTAAAAACGCAGGATCTGATAGTTCCGAAGGATCTTCAATCTTCAAGGTGCAATTTGTCCCATATCCATCAACAGACCTACCACCGTTCCAGTATTGAAGCCTAGCAAAATGTTTGTATCGACTTTATTTATTTTAGAAATAAAACAAAAGTGAAGAATACGATTCGCTAAACCCCCGTTAAATTCTGAATCCAAGGGTACCCCATTCATGGTATTTGAGCATGACAGGAGCTTATATTTAGTACAAAAACGATTTCGAGCCTTACTGTAATAATATATGTGGGTATGGGGAATATAATGATAAATATAAGCTAATTAATTTTTTAAGGTATCTCATATCCAAAGAATCAAAATTTTACTATCGATATTTAAAACTGCTTTAAGTATCGATAGTTCGTATCAGATGCCGGCGTAATTTTCGATTTAAATGATAAAGCTATTTTACTATTAACTTTCATTACTGCCTCAATTGAAAAGTTATGTTTGCTTGATTGTTAATGCGGCCAATTTAATTTGGTAGTTACAAACCTTCCTACTTACAAAAGCTAAGCTGAATTTTTACAAATATTCGTTAAAAACTGTCTAATGACGTTATCAACATCACTATCTTCACAATACGATTTTAATGGACCTTCTCAATAAATTAAGTTATTTTCACGATTAAATTTCATTTCTGTTTTAATTGCTGATTGTATCTGTTAGATGGTTAATAAGGCTATTATAATTTGATATTTACACAGAATGTTTCTTCTTGTTGAAGCTAAGCTGGAGTTTTATAAATATTTATGTAAAACTGTCTAAAGTTGTTATCAATATTACTTTTTTCATGACACGTTTTATCATTTTATGACACCAGACCAATCTATGAAATAGTGTTACTAGGTACTTGTGAAGGACACTGTTATTAAAGTTTTCAGTATTTTTTACACTTTCAATTTAATATGCTTATTAGTTTTTCAGCTTGAAGTCATTTTAATTGAAAAGTTCTACAATCATGTCGGAGTTAAGCAATAATTCTGTATTTCCACAAGTTCACACCCATCCAAAAAATAATGAGCTTCATGAAAGATTAAAAAAACTGAAACATACATTTTTTTCCAAATTTTCTTATTATCCTGATGTATATGTTAGAGTACCAGGAAGAGTAAATTTAATTGGAGAACATATTGATTATTGTGGTTATTCAGTTTGCCCACTGGCTATTGATAAGGACATTTTATTAGCTGCTAAAGCTGTAGAAGAAGAACCCTTCTTAAAGATTACTAATCTAGACTCAAAGTATCCAGATTGTATCGTTCCTGATAGTAATTTTGTGTATGTACAGATAAGTATGATTTTATATAATGTATTTACTACATGAAATAGTTAACATGAGATAATAATCAAGGTGGTAGTTATAGTGAAGTACACATCAGTCATGTTCGATTTATATTTCACCAACATTGAAAGAACTGCAGTATTGATGTTAGCATATCATTTACATAATGTTGTTTCATTATCAACACCTTAGCATCAATAATCTCCTTGTAATGTAGGCTTAGTACCTGTACAGTGTGTATCTACTGCATTTTATTACAATTTTTATTTTAGGATCGATCACCAAAAGTATGGTTGGTGTGCTTATGTGCTGTGTGGTATTTATGGTGCCTTGGAAAAGTTGGGAGGAAAGCCAGTTTCATTAAGATTTGCTATTGCAGGCTCAATACCACCTGGGGCAGGATTATCTAGTTCTAGTGCAGTCGTCTGTGCATCCCTTCTTGCTACTACTTATTTAAATAAGGTATGGAAATACATTATGAGGTACTATCACTTTAACATGGTAGGCGGGCACTAAATCACATGATCACACTGTAGATGAAGTTATGCCAGTGTCAAGAGTGTCAAACAATTTATAGAAGTGACCAATCCCCTTGGTAAGGTCCCTCCTTAACTGAAAATAATCTGTTGGGAGTGTGTGTAACTCCTTAAAGCAAGCGTAGTGAGTAGCAGGTCAATGTCACAATCCAATTAAGATGATAAGGCTTTAGCTGAAAAGGACCTATGGTCATATCCATAAGTTGAAAATTGCAATCTAACTTAAGGGTTACATACAGACAGGCAACATTTTTTTAAAAAGTGGATATGGTGTCTGCAATGTATGAAACGGAAAGATATAATAAAACGCGTTGATTCTATTCAATGTACAGATAAAAACTTTATTTTATTTATATAGATTTATAATAAACAAAATTAAAGGTACTTTATAGGAAGACATGATAATGTTGGGATTTAACAAAGGGAAAATTCATCAAATTATTCACTAATTTAATTTTCTAAAAAAATACATGACAATTTTTCGGGATAAACGTTGATATGTAATTATTTAAATGTAATATCAGATCTAGAACCACTAAACTACAGTAAATGTATTTAAGGTTATGAACATATGCTTTATACATCCATGAAATGATTTTATAGACTGATAGGAAAAAAATTCCACCCACTTGATTTTTTCATGTTTTCATCTAAAAATCTTTCTGCCACTTGTAAAAAAAGTTGTATTTGTATATAATACATGGTATTTGTAGATAATACTTAGTATTTATGGAATTTTATAATCTTTTTTACCTTTAATAATCAAAATGTGATTGGGTAAGAAAGATTAGAGAAAAAAAAATTGAAAAACGAACCATTATTATACTAAAAGAAATTAATTACATCATCGTTTAGTAGCCCGTGTTTCCTCCTCTTTCCTTCACTACTTTTTGAAGACGCCTCGGCATACTTTCCACCAGTCAGGAAATGTCCCTTTGCTGGAGGATAGCCCATTCCTCCCGAAGAGCCCTTCAAGGTCCTGCAGTGTATCAGGAAGTGTTGCACGCGCTCTTATTCATCTTCCGAGGTTATCCCATAAATGCTCAACCATGGGGTTCAAATCTGGAGAACGTGCTGGCCAGGCTAAAACCTCAATATTGTTCTGATGAAGGAATATCTGCACTATACGGGCGACATGTGGGCGTGCTTATCGTGCATTAGAATAGAACGATCGCCGATTTCGTTGAAGATAGGCAACACATGAGGTTCCAAAATCTCATCTACATAGCGAATGGCTGTCAAAGACCCTCCACGAACAACAACCAATTCTGTGCGGCGCTCCATTGAAATCCCAACCCACACCATTAAGGAACCACGTTGGAAAGGTTGGCTCTGGGAAAAATTACAGGCTGCACATCTTTCGTTTCTTCTTCTCCACACCCTTTCTCGCCCGTCTGGAGATCGAAGAGTGAATGTTGACTCATCTGTAAAAAGTACAGCACTCCATTCGTCCATAGTCCAATGGCTGTGTTCTCGAGCAAAAGCCAGCCGTGTTACTCTGTGAGTTCTGGTTAACTCTGGTCCTCTTACTGAATGAAAAGTCATTAATCCATACTCATTTAATCTTCTCCGAGCGGTACGTTCAGAAATTTGAACACCTCGAACTTCTTTGAGCTGATGAATCGCTTGAACAACGGTAAGGTGCCAGTTTCGTAAAATTCTCAAAGTCAAAAACCGGTCATCCCGTGGTTCTGTTACCCTAGGCCGTCCAGAACCGGGCCTTCTATTGTAAGAACCAGTTTTCCGAAAATCCCTGACGGCGTCTCGTAAAGTTTCATATGCCACTCCGATGGCATTAGCTGCATATCTAATGGAACGTCCATCATCAATAAGTGTCACATCATGCGGAACATCCTTAGCACTAAGAGGCATTTTTAAACTTAATATTGAAAAAATTAAAAGCCGGAGACTAAGAAATGTGCTGCAAGAAACGGCACTGAACTAATGATACTGAATAAACATTTTGATTCCATAGAAAGTAAACATTGGAATCTAGAATCATTTCATTGAATTAAGGGTTATTGTCCTCTATATTAACATTCCTAATTGAAAACAAACAAAAAGATTACCCATTTATTCATTAAAAACAATAGACCAATCCAAAGCAGAAATATTTTTAGATGAAAAAATCAAGTGAGTGGAATTTTTTGCCTGTCAGTGTATATGGCATCTAACTACCTACTGTGAATGACTATTTCTGACTACCACTAGGTGGATAAGGGATAGGTATTTATACAGAGTCAGGAGAAAAATGCTGACTCTAGGGATTTACAATTATTTGGCTACCTTAAGTCCTCCCTTCTGAAGTTTTTGAGCTTTCTGAGAGAAGAAGTTGAAGAACAGAGTTGGCAGATGTAAATGGCTGGAGTACAAGTTCCACCTTTAGGCTTGATGTACTATCTACTTGCTTTTGTTGACTAAGAATACTTGAGAACTTATACATTTCATAACAATTAAAAAAATAATAGATATAAAATAATAATAGTTAAAAGTGTTCTAGCATTAAGTTAATCAATCTTTTAGTTAACATTGTCAAAGGCAGAACTGGCTACAATGAGTGCTATAAGTGAGCAATATGTTGGAACTGTTGGTGGTGGTATGGATCAGGCCATAGCTTTTTGTGCTACCGAAGGTAATATTTTATTAATAACCTGATTATACATTTTTTTAGTTGTAAAATTTAAGTTTATTAAATATTATTGATAAAATTAATGAAGTTTAAATGGTAGGTTGTGCTAAGCATATTGAATTTAATCCTTTAAGAACGACTGATGTATCTATACCAGGTGATGCTATTTTTGTAATAGCTGATAGCCTTGTTACAAAGAATAAAGCTGAATCTAATGACTTCAACACTAGAGTTGTTGAGACTCGTCTTGTTGCTCAGGTTTGTTTACTTATAAGATTGTTTCTCATCTCGGTAGTTAATGAAAGTTTATAACAACTATTAGAATAATTCTTTTTCTTAGGTTTTAGCTAAGCGGCAACTGATTACATCTTGTGTAGATAAACTAAAAATTGCTGATGTACAAGCCGAACTGGATATCAGTTTGGAAAAAATGATTTCACTTGTGAAAAGCACATTCCATAAAGAACCATATACAAAAGAGGAGGTATTTCTTTTAAAATAGAATTGAAATTTTTATATATTTTCTTTACATTCACTTTTTAGAAGATATGATTAATATTTAACTAGTTATCAGCACAAATTTATGATACTGGAATTTCCCGAAACCATTCCTCCAGTATGTTATACTAATATAAAGGGTGACCTGAAAGTAATAAGAACTATTAAAAAAATTAATAGTAGACCTCACAACCAACAAAACAGTTCATATGGGCTCTGGTCCGATTAAACTCAGAAAAGCAACAAGTTTTAAGGCTTGTGTTTTGTTTTTAGTAAGCTGCGCTTTTGTTGTATAGAAAGCAATAACAAAAAATTGTTAAAGGATACTGTAGTGCAGAAATTCATAGGTTTATGATGAAGGGTAAAGGTAACTTGATGGGATTTATTTTAATCCTCCTCTTTTGACACCATTCTTCAAGGCTGGTGATGTGTGATTGGAGAGTTTGGGATGCAATTGATAGATCGTTATTAACTGTAGGATACATGTGTCATCAGTATAGGTGGTGATGACAGTATTGGAATGGGTTGGGATGTCAGCGGCATAAACTCTGTAAAGGGTAGGACCTTGGATACTACGTTGAGACAGTTAAACTTGAATTCAAATTGTCAAAATATATTTTCATGACCACTTTGAGGGTCGATAAGTTTTTTTTTCTGCAATTATTAACATATTTTTTTTAAACTTTCTAATGGATCTGGTAATTTGAGCTATGGAGTTTTAAAATATTGGAACTACTTCCTATGTGCCTACTAAAGAGAAAGATAATAAGGAAAAGGATGCTTTTTATGATGCATTTATCAGGGCTTGTGATAGTATCCCTTGATATGATGCAGTTATTATCCTCGGAGATGCTCAAATAGGTAAGAAAATTTATTTAAGAGGAGTAGTAGGGATTTTTAGCCTACAAGATAAATAAAAAGAAATTGAGCAGTTTGCAGCTTTGAGGCAATATATAATAAAGAGCATCACCTTTCAACACAAGAGCATCCATTTAGGCTCCTGGAAAATGCGAGTGGGCAGAACTGTCAAGATAGCTGCCGAGTTTTATCATTAGGGTTCACAATTCCCACAGAAATTAGAAATAATCTATTAGATGGCCCTGTTTATCATAAGCCCTTCAAATATAGACAGCTGTGAAAAATTCACAACTCTATGTTCCCAAATTATTTCGGAATTATTTGTTTAAGATATAAAATTCTCAGATGGAGGAACCACCATATCTTATCATTGATATTCCAAATCTTAACTTTTTTACTTTCCCAGATGACGAATAGAACCCTTTCCCTTTTTGATGTCATCATCTTGCTCTTTTAAATGCCTACCACTAAATTTTTGAAGGCAGTTCTATTCTAGCCACAGATTCTTCAACAGCTCTCTCCACACGGCTACCACCACCAAGCCATTGCAAGTCATATTCCAATACACTTGTAACCTCACTTCAATCAATAACTCTTTTAATTTTAACTTTGATACAACACAAGACTAAGGGTCCTCTGTGAGATTCAGCTCTTTGGATGTGACCTTTAGCAGTTATATCAAGCTAGAGGAAATTCAGCATAGATTTAACTAGACAAGTTTTAATCACGTAAATACAGATCATTTTAGTCAAAGTATATTCTTTTGAATTATCTTCACATTATTTATAAGATTGGGAAGAGCCTTAACTCTTCATCTTGCTGGCAGTGATTATATGTTTGTCATTCGAATTTAATCTTTTTTAATGTCCTAATACGACAGAACCATAAATGAAATCAGCCACTTACTTGCTTCTGCTAGAAGTGCCTCCAGTATAATTGTCGTCAGAGCTTGTAGAGGATCCGTCTTCAGATAAATGTATTGAGTAAAGTGCAGAAAGGTAGCAGGCTAAGAAGATTGAGATGATGGAATCCGGAAAAACATCAGAAAATGAATGAGTGAAAGAAAGCTTTCAAGAGACACTAAGCACTAACTTACAAGAAAGAGAACAAAGGAATAACATAGAGAAGGAGTGGAGTTGTTTGAAAGATACAATACACACAACTGCTCAGGAAATATTAAGGGAGAGAATTTCAAGAAAGAATGGTGAGTGTTTTGATGAATGCTGCAGAAAGATACAAGAGGTAATAGGGAAAAGTATCAAGAAAGCATGCAAAAAGTGACCAATTTATGTAGGAAGAAGAAGAGAGAGTGGATGGAGAAAAACAAAGAGGAAAGAAAATTTTACCAACCAGCCAGTTGAATGAGAAATGATTTTCTACTTCTGATGAACGTATGCCACGATATAAATGGCATGAAAAGATGAGAACATTTTGAAGAAATTTTAAATATAGATGGCTCATCTCAAGAAGAAGCACAATGTGAACTGGACATTAGGAGAATTACAGTAGAGAACCCTGACAAGCAAGGCAGTTGCTATGCGGATTTTGAAAATGCATTAGTTTCACTAAGAAATAACTGCACACCTGGAGAAGATAACATTCCCTGTTAGATCATTAACTCAAGAATGACACATTTAAATACGTCAACTCATTGTGACATTCTGGGGTGTGGTAGACCAAACTTTCAATTGTCATAAAATTTAATTGTCATGCTCTGGAAAAAATAAAAAATAAATTCAAGATAACCTCAGAGAATATATTTTATATGCTCACATAAAGTAAAAAGTTAACATCTACATTACTAAAAAATTGAAAAAGAATCAATATTTTTCCATTGAAAATACATTAAGTTTATATCAATTAAATACATATACTTGGAATGTAAAATATTTGCATGATAAAGGTTAAAAAATTCTTACTGAACAATATAATATAATCTATAGTGGAGACTATTTAACTGACCACTCACAATAATCCAAGCAACTGTCGCCCAATGTTCATTGCAGATAGGTCCTCTACATTGCTGACAAACCATTTGTGTCTTCCTATCTTTCCCTCTCGTGCAAAACGAATATTTGGCTTCTTTTTTTCAATAGTAGTTGTTTATTTTTTAATTCCAAAAATTTTATTAATTTTTAAACTCACTGTTCGTGTGAGTGTCTCCACTTGCAGTCTTTCTTTCAAACAGGGCTCAAGCGACAAATAGACTAATCCAAATAAGTGATTTCTCCATTTCAACTTCTTTTCCCAGTCAACTAAGCTGAACAATATCATGCTGTTTATCTCAGCATGTTTCAACAATCCAAAGAAAAATCTTAAATACAACCTCCTCATTTTTCTTGCTGTTGTGTACACATGACACATTTGATCAAAAAGTTACTGTTCTTTCTTTATTGTATGCTCCTTGCATAATTTCTTCGTCTTCTAACTCACATAACAATTTATGGATTTCTTCAGGAGAAAAAAAAATTTGTTTGGTATCTGTCGTACTAGAAAAATAGTTTCTATACATTAATGTATGAATTAAAAATACCACCAATTAACAATTATAACATTAGAAATCAAAACCTGAATTATTCAAATTTTCAAAATAACAAAGGAAACACTGTAAAATGAAATTCACAGAAAAGTGACATAGACAGCACACTGAGGTATGAGCCACCCAGGAGAGTCACGAAAACAGCATACTGGGGTATGGGATACCCCATAATGACTTTCGGTAACTCCCAATAATGATATAAGTCCATCAATGGGATGCAAATGATCATAATTAGCCTGGCTATATATGATGTTTATTTACATGAAAAAGCTTGGCCAAAGAGCTACTTATATAAAAGTAAATTAATATTTATAATGATGTGGGTGTGTCACATCTCAGTGTATCATTTTAGGGTTAAAAGTGGTGGAGATCTACTGCATCAAAGGACATACAATTTAATTTACAATATCTGGACTAATGAGAAAATGCCAACCAGTTAGTGCTCTGAATTGATCTTGCCTATCTTTAAAAAAGGGAATAAGATCCAATATCAAAACTATAAAAGAATTATGCTCATGTATGTAGCATACAAAATCCTGTCAAGGCTGCAAGTGGAAAAGCTCAAGATCTACTCTGAAAGGATCCTTACGGATTACCCATGTGGTTTCCATCCTAACAGAGGGACTACAGACCAGATCTATCTTGTGAAACAGATATTAGAAAAATGCTACAAGTGCAATGCTGATGTCCACTTTGCTTTTTCAGGCTCTCAAAGGTTTTGGCATTTCTTATAAGTTGATTAAATGATTAAAATGACAATGGCTCAAACACTAGCGAGTGTTCTCATTGGAAATCAAACTAATCACAGGGAGATGCCTTATCTGCCATACTCTTCAACTTGATCCTCCATAAAGCTGTGACAAAAATTGTTCCGAGTGGTAACCTAGCAAGCCTTACTATGCGGATGGCATTGTGATCGCAGGCAGGGGTGAAATCTCTTTAAAAGATTTACTAGTTGAATTAAATAATGAAAGTAGGAAGTTAGGAGTAGTGATTAATGAATCAAAAACTAAATATATGATATTATCTTGCATCTACAACCAAAAGAAGGCCGCAAGATTTGGTACTTGTCACTTAGAAGGTATTGATAGATTTACCCATCTTGGAGTGGAATTAAACTGTAAGAACAAAGGAAGTGATGAAATTAAAAGAAGAGCCATGGCTGGAAACAGAGCCTACCATGGCCTCCAGAGACTAAGGAAATCAAGCCTTCTGACTGAACAAACTGAATTGAAAATATTTAAGTCTCTGATTAACCCGATGGTGTGCTATAGAGCAGAAATCTGGACATCAAAAATCTCACACCAGTGTCTGTGTGTTAAATAATGCCATTTAAACATTTCATTAGTTTTCCCTAAACCTAAACAGAAATTTAACTTTTAAACTCAAATATGATTTGTGACTGAAGCTGTTAATAATAAAATTATTATTATGCCTGATTGAAGGTCATGTTTTGAAAATTGTTCTCTTAAAACAGGGCTCTCTAATTTTTTTAAATTTTACATTGCATTTCTAATAGTGAAGTATCTTATTACTACAACATGTTTAGATTTTTGTTACCTGATAGTTAATCATATTTATTTCAGTAGTGGTATTGATGTGCATCTCAAACTAAAATTGTCATTGGACTAATATTTTCAAATGTGGTTTTCCCCAAATGCATTTTTTGTTCCTATGCCTCAATTGTTATGTACTTATCCTTTTTATATTTTTAATTTTTTTTGTACTTTATCTGCATCATCTTTTTTTTAGAGTATCTAGTCCTTAAAAATCCTCTGGCCTCTAGTTGAGAATCTATATTATAATTCAACATCAATAGCGAAATTGAAAAACATGTCCATATTTCACAACATTTTTTTCTAATTATTTATATTTGAATTTATTAATAATTTCTGTTTTTTGTTCTTTTACAATAATAATTTAAGGTTTTATTAAAGAATTATGTTTTAGTTATGCGAAGAATTGGCAATGACAAAGGATGAATTGAGTAAGATATTGACAGCAAACACTAGACATCTTTCACAATTTAGTTTATACCAACGTGGACTTCATGTCGTAGAAGAGGCTTTTCGTGTGCAGAAATGGTTGTCAACTAACTCAGTTCAAACTTTAGGTTGCCTAATGAATGAATCTCATCAATCATTAAGAGACCTTTATGAGGCTAGCCACCCATCTTTGGACAGGTTAGTTAGTGACTGCTTGGGCGGAGGTGCCTTGGGTGCGAGGTTGACAGGTGCAGGCTGGGGAGGCTGCGTAGTAGCTATCACCACTCAAGACAAAGTTGATAATCTTATTAAGTCTTTAGCAAAGTCATACTATAAAAACTATGATGGAGTTTTCAGTGAAGTTGTATTCGCTACTCATCCTGGCCGTGGAGCAGAGATATTTACTTCCATTTAGGAATTGTTAATAATATATATATATGTATATATATATATATATATATATATATATATATAATATATATATATATATATATATATATATATATATATATATATTCATTGATACATATATATATATATATTGATTCATTCTCACTTTGACATTTTAGGAGAAAGCCCTGATGATGGCCTGAACTTCAGGTCGAAACGTCGGCAGATGTAAAAAATAAATATTATAATTTATTTTTGCCTTCCTTTTTTGACTGAGCACCCCAACTATTCTTCTCTTCATATATATATATATATATATATATATATATATATATATATATATATATATATATATGAATGTGAAATATTAATATCAGTAATTAACAATTCCTAAATGGAAGTAATTGCTCATATTGCTTAGTTTCAACAAAAATTGTATTCTCTCATGCGTCTTCTAAGAAATACAATTGGGAGTCGTTGTTTTAAATGGTATCAGAATGAATTGCTTCAATTTTTTTATTTCTATAAATATAATATGTATTTATTCTTATATAGCATAGTCTATCTATTTATTTATGCCCTTCTGCCTCTCATGTATGTATTTTATTCCTTATTCTTTGCCATTGATAAATATCTCTCATTTGGTTATTTTAAATTTAATTTTAATATTTTTGTGTTGGTGTTGCCATTAAGAATTTTTTGGAGCTATTAAAATGTATGATTGCTTCAGTGGATCAAAGTTATAGTTTACTTTACAATATTAATAGATAGTAAGAAATGTACAAAAAATATGTTTAAAAAAAAGTATATATATGTTATACATATATATAAACTATATATATATTGGGTGGATCCATAACTTCATTCGATTTTTGTTAGTAATCTTTGTTAGTAGTTGACAATAATGATACTTATCAGAAAGGTCAAAGTCTGCTCTTCGAAACTGTTGTTAGTTGTTAAATGAAGAAGTCAATTTTTGGCATATTTTGCTTTTTTATTTTAAAAAAAGGCAAGCAAACTTCGTAGGCCCACTGAAATATATGTAAGGTATACATGAACGATGCCTGAACAGAACGTACTGTTCAAAAATGGTTTGCCAAGTTCCATTCTGGAGATATATGAGTTTCGAAGAAGCACCCCATTGCGGTCAGCCCACCGTGATCGTTTCGAGTGATATCAAGGTTCTAATCGAACAAGATCAGTCACTACAGGTACGAGAAATTGCGGAGATACTAAAAATAGGTTTTGGAACCGATCAAAGGCATTTAAAACAGCTTAGTCTAATACCAATTGATACTGAAACTCTCTTCTGAACTGGTACGAAAGGGACCCATTTTTCAATCGAATATTGACGAGTGACAAAAAGTGGATCATCTATGACAATGTGGTGAGCAGGAGATCGTGGACAACTGCTGATGAGCTGCCTAATGCCACCAGGCCGACCTGCATTCAAAAACAATTTTTCTCTCCATATGGTTGAATTATTGCGGGGTGTTGTTTTACAAGCTGCTTCCACAAGAAAAAACGATTGATTCGGATATCTACTGCACCCAACTAGCGAAATTGGACCAACCATTACGACAGAAACACCCAGAAATAGTCAATCGCAAAGGTGTTGCATTCCACCATGACAATGCTAGACCACACTCCCCAATAATCACACAGTAAAAGATTAGTAAAACTTGGCTGGGATGTTTTATTACACCCACCGTATTGCCGGACCTTGCATCATCTGATAATCACTTATTCAGTTCTCTCCAAAACTCCCTCAAGGTGAAATTGTTCGCTGAGAGAGATGAGACGTATCTTAATCAGTTTTTCGCCTTTAAGCCCCATATGTTTTACGATAGCAGAATAATGAAATTGTTAAAAAGATGGCGAGAGGTCATTAATAAAAACAGCAAATAAATTATTCAGTAAAATTTGTTCTTTATTTGATAAAAACTTGTTTGATGTAACCCTTCAAAAACCGAACAAACTTATGGATCCACCCAATATATGTATATATATATATATATATATATATATTTATAATTTGGTTTTATTAATACTTGAAGCATATATATTTTATGAATGAATAAATACTAATTAATTTTAAACTTCTTTATATTTAAAAAATATATATCAGTAAATGTGGATGAATGATTATAGTTTTGAAACAAATAAAAAGTAATAAATTGTAAATTTTTTATTTTTAAAAATAAATTGAAAGTATCTGTGTTGAAAAGAGCTCATATTTTGTTATCATAACACAAGTGATTCCATTCTATTGTAATTTTGAACATATCCCCTGTTTACAGATTTAGCAACAAATAGCCAAACATAACATTATGTTATTAATTTGAAATCACCCAATTTGAATTAATTTTGTTCCTCAACATTTTTTATTTTTATAATTTTTTTACCAGTTATTCCATATTTATTAGAGTTCAAAACCATAGTTAAAAAAAATTGAAGCTCTCCATATGTAGTCCTACCACTGTACTTCTTGCTGAAGAAATTTCAATCTTGAAAATCTTGCCCTTTTTTTAAATATGAATTTTCAAAAACAAAAAAAAGTTACATACATTACAATGGTCGAAAATAGACATGAACCACATTAAAATATTGAAATAATATAAAATATATATAATCCAAAAAACAATCATTGTATTAACACATAATTTAATAATTTCAGATATTATCTGTTGTTCAGATTTAATTATTGTTTTAAAATCTATAAACTATTTATGTGAAAAATTTAGCATTAGTCAATTTTACTTTCAGGAGCGAAAATTAGATCGTATTTTCTGTGAAGGTTGAGGTGGTTCATTGTACAAACATACATTTCCTCAGTTTAATCCAAATAGTAACTAAATACACTTTTGATAAAGCCTAACTTTTGAACATATTTGTGAAAAAACATCTTATCCATTGATGCAAAAAACTCATTGAGTGTATCAAAATAGGATTAAACTATTACATGTCAAAATTATTTAGATTTTACACAGCACAAATTAATCAAAACACTAATATAAATTCATGACTTTTTTCAACAAACCGACGATATGTATTTGTTGCTTGATTAATAACCCTTCTTTTTATAATATGTTTCTCTATCAGTGGCGGATCCAGGAATTTTCTCAGGGGGGGGGGGGGCGCACCCCCTGTACCAGGTGCTTCCCCCCACCCTACCATTTCTCCCACCACTACGCATCTCCCCTCCACTCCTTAGCTGAGTTTAGTCGGTCAAAAGTCTTCTTTAAGTGGTTTTAACAAAAGCAAACTCTATTTTTATTTAAAGTGATTTTTGTCTAGTTTACGGTGCAACTATCATTAATTACTTAAATTAAATAGTTTTTTGTTATCACTTCCTATTCAACAAAAAACGTGGCTTACATAAAAAATCACAAAACTTTAATTCCCCACTTTCCTGCTAAAAATCGAACCAATGTTTATATAAACTTTTTTGTATTTATTTAGTTTTGCTATCACTACTTTACATATTTTCCTCTACTTACGAGACATCCTGTATATGGGTTAAGACATGTAAAAAACTAAATTGCTAACAAGGGTCACAAAAGGAAAACATATTACAGCCAAAAATTTCAGATTTATCTGATTTTTTTCTATGTATTGCCACTACTAAACAGTACATCAAAGCGAAAAAAATATTCTTTAAGAAATTAAAAATGTCAAATTCTGCGTTGAACGAGTGCCTAAACTTCATAATTTGATTAAGCGATATGGTCGATAATCATGGCCAATTAAAGCTAATTTTTATCGATATTGTCAAAATCTGAAAGATTACTATAAATGGCCCTGCAGCTTGGAAATGAGTTCTTTAAGAAGAAAAAAAATCATAACAATTTTAGATTCCGATCAAATCGGTGACCAAATAATTAGTACATTCCTTCATGGAAACGTTTCCAACAGCAGTTATTTTAATAAAAGTACAACACTTTCTAATGAGAAAATACTAATTATTATCTTGACCAGTTTTATGAATCGCATGGATTCTTCAATAAGACTAGTTTCTGAAGGTTGCAATGCGTCCAGATCTATTGAAACTGAGTAAAAACTGGATCCGTAAGAAAACCCGTATTTTCTTGTGGTAGAATAAAAGGTAGTTCGAAACAATAAATGAAGTTTTTTTTTTTTTTTTTTTTTTTATAATAAATTTTCCTCCATCATTATAAACATTCCTCCTTCACCTGCGAGTCTCAGTTCGGAGTCAATAGGAAGAAACTGCGAAAGGAGCAAAAGCCTTCGCATCTCACGGCGGCCCAAAAACTACATCACTCTTTTCTTTAAATAGATGTTTTCCTGGAAAGATTTTTTTTCCAAAAAAGTTTTTTTTAATTACTTTTTTAATATCCAGAGAGGAACGCGGCCCATGGCAGAAATCGCCCGTGTTGGTCACGATAATAACTTTATTTTATGTTACATTAGAAAATTCGTGTATGAGAAGGAATTTTCCTGATATTTCTCTTTTCTTTAAATAGGTGTTTTTGTCACTTTTTTCGGAATTTTCTTCCACCATCCAAGGAAGGCCGCCCCCCTGGCAGAATTCGCTTGTGCTGGTCACGATAATAATTTTTTTTTATATTACATTAGAAAATTCGTGTACGAGAATGAATGTTGCCTACATTTCTCTTTTCTTTGAATAGGTGTTTTGTCAAATTTTTCTGAATTTTCATCCAAGGGAGGGCGCGCCCCCTGGCAGAATTCGTTAGTACTGGTCGCCATAGTAATTTTTTTTATTGCATTAATAAATTCGTTTATGAGGATGAATTTTTCCTATATTTCTCTTCTCTTTAAATAGCTGCTTTTTGGAACTTTTTTGGATTTTTTCCAGCCTCCAGAGAGGGAGAAGGGGGGCTAATGATCTCTATAGATGCAATGTATTTAATTTCATAACAAAGGGTTCCCTGATTGTATTACGGGTTTAAAAGCAAAGTAAATTACAATGAAGCTCACCTATATTGGCGTGCTGATCAATCTGTGGTTTCCTTTCACTTGCAGCTTGTTTTGATCAATAGTTGCAAAAAACAACTGTACCATCAGTTG